CTAAAAGACAAACGCTTTCATATGGCCATTAATGAAAGCCCCATGTCCGACCACAAGCAAATTTACTTATCTATAAAAAATATAAACCACCGGCAAAAAAAAAGAGAATAAATTACGAAGCAATTAATTATGAAACACTTAATAGCTATATTAGCAATACGAAATTTTGTTCTACAAATTATAGCTATGAAAATTTAGAAAAAATAATACAAGCTGGAATTAACAACAGCAAAGTAACCAAGACTAGAATTTTAAACCCTCCTCGACAAGACTGGATATGCAAAGATATTATAACTAGTATTCAAGAAAGAAATGTATTTTGGTTTGCGCACCATGATCTTTGCTGGAGTACAAATCTATAATAAATTACCTAAAGAGATAAAAAATGCAAATTCATTCAACATTTTTAAAATTAAACTGAAAAAACATATACTAAATGACAATACATTATTAAAATAAAATAACTAATATAAGCTAATGCACATAAAAAAAAAATTTTATTAAGTAAGTTAAATATAATAAGAATAAAGTATGAAATAAATAACTAATGATCTAGCTGTTTTTGTTACTCTGTGTCTATGAGTTTGCATTTCTTATCGCTGTTTTTGTACACAATTATTGTTGCTTTGAGGGTATGTTTTAAATTGTCGAAGTTTATATTAATATATGTTTATAGTCATAAGTTTCTCAAATAAGTGAAATGTTATTTCTTTTTGAGAAAATAAAGTATCTTTAACCACAAATATAAACGTGCTATACAAAATCTTTATTAACTTATAAAAGCGTACAACAACATATAAAACAGAACGCTGCTTGTTTCCTGGAAGAATTTACAATTTTTCTATGCGAAAAACGTTCAGAAACTAACATATAAGTTTGATGAGTTCGACACGGGCCGGTCGGTGTAAGCGCAGACTTGCACAATACTTGTTTCTTTCAAACTAAAAACTCTTTACTTTGATGCTATTTTTTTCCTGATCCTGTACGTATATTATAGTATCTTATCTGATATAAAGTTTAAACTGCTTCCTTATATAATAAATGGTATTATAATAATATATTCTAAAACTTTAATTTAAATATTAATCTTTATTCGGCTTAACGCTTTTTAAAGTTCATATCCATCTATCTATTGACAAAATTCTCACCTTATTTTATTTAGACATCATTTTAATTAAAATATATATATATATAGGTATATATATATTTTAATTGTTATAATATATCTATGTTCGGTTTAAGTTTTTCGATAGTTATGACGCCATGTTGCCGTTTCTAAGACACATTATTGGCAACACTCCGATGAATTCAATCGGAAAATGAAAATAGTTTTGACGGAGTATTAAATGTACAGGATTTGTTACTTTTATAGTGCCATAACACGTTTATATTATTTTATTTTTCACACATTTTTAAATCACGAAGTTTGAAAAGTTTTTTTTTTAATGGCAATGATTTAGTTTTATATTCAGTTAATATTAATAAACTGTATGCCTATTCTTAATTTGAATAGTTATAATAAGTACATATAAATCGTATCTTTATTTCTTTCAATAAATTACGTTATTACTATGTATAATGAGCGTAGATATACAAAGATCTACATATAAAAAATATAGAATAAATATTTATTCTATGAGTACGTACGGAGTGAGACGATGCAAAACTAGAATAAGCATATTCGTCAAAATTAAGCCTTCCTTAGATTCACCTTCATCAGAACCATAAGATTTCTTTACTACGCGGTATCCCCACTTACATCAAAACATTTTGAATTAAAATGACAACAAATAAGGTATTTTTTAATTTAAATGACAGCAAACAACATAATTTGGAATTAAAATGACGAAACAAATAACGTACGGAGATACAAAATGGAGAATAGTTGTAACTAATATTCTCTTACAAGTATATCTAAGATACCAACATATACACTGATTAGCTCTTGAACCGGCGTCTGTATAATCAAGTGAACAGTACTGAAAATACAACTGGGAAACAAAACTTACTTTCTACTTCATTCTATTCAGTTAATTATGTTTGACATAAAAACACAATAAAGGCGGGTGTTAATACAGATTAAAAATATATTATAATAGCAAAGAGTATTTAAAAAGAGATAAAATGACAGAAAGATATGGACTGACTACATTTGAGCGATTTTGTTAAGCTACATAAAATTAATATTTTCTGATGTACTTCTCGTTTTTTATTAGTATGTATCTAAATGAATACAAGCGAAAAATATGATTTTTGTAATCATTGACGAAAATGGATGTAAAAGAATTGAAAATCACGATTAATGAGCGTAAAAATTGTCATATTACATACACATCTATCAAATACATTTTGTTGCCATTTGTTATAATTGAAATATGACAAATCGTATGAAATAAAACAATTATATAATCAATCATTGTACTTATTAAATTTTATTTAACCTCCATTGTGTAAACTAATTAATTATTTGCCAAAACGTTTTATAAATGCAAATAATAATTTAACGGTTCCAACCCAAATTAATTTAAAAACAGATGAAAGCGCGCTCATTAAAATGTTGCACAGTAAAATAATTTGAATATATCTCGCCATTAAAATGGGTTCTTATCGTAAACCACCAAGAAAAAACAATAAATGTTCGTCCCTCTACGCGGAAGAAGTAAAACATCGTTATGTTAGAATGAAAAGTGGAAGGGGTAGAAATGCCTTTTTATGGATTTCTGATGTTTCTTTAAGACAAACTTTATTAATATAACTAGCAAGTTATTGCCCGCATGCGTTCGACCGCTACTCAGTCCCTCTTTTTCTGTCTCAACTCTCAACACCAAATCTTAAACGTTTAACGCAACCTTATGGAGGTCACATGAGAAATTTACTTAATTACTTAATTATTTATTTCATTTTAAGTTAATTATTCAGAGTATACTAGATATCTGTTTGGTTTTTAATTAGGGTATTGCTTATAAGTCTGCGGGTATGAAACTTGCGATGGCCGAAGCGACGGCGGGGCGGGGCGGCGCAACGCGGGGCGACGAAACAGCGGTGTATTGCGTGTGTACGAAAAAAAATTCTGCGCAAACGCGCTCACGTAGTGTTGTGATAAACATGAATTCATGTCGAAGATAACTATTGGAGCCCAGTCTCCTAATGAGAGAATTTTTATTACCTAGAGATGGTGTTCATCCAATAAATCAACAATGACACAGTTTGGGAGAATTTTCTACACTTTATTACGAGCTACGTTTTCATTCAAGAAAGTTCTACAATTACACAAGAATGAGTATAGAGACATTCGATTATGTTTTACAGAAAATAGAAGCAATCTGACATCTAACATTTTCGGAAATCATTTAAAATAAACGATATTAACCCTTCATTGTCAATTTCCATAATTTCCATATTATAACTGTGATAAAAATGCAACACTATTGTACTGGCTCGAGCGGCGAAATCAAAATAGCTTGTTCCCGTCGCTCCGCTCCGCCACCGCTGTGCCGTCGCCCCGCTGTTGCTCCAGCCGTCGCAAGTTTGGTACCCGCAGAATAAATCTCTTAAGATGAGAGTATAGGTACGTAGGGAGTGTCCTGAAGAACTGTTTGATATAGTGCCTTCGTCACCATTTAACCATCGCAATACCCGCTGTAAGGTTGGATTTCATCCACTTCATCCAGATCCAGTTATGTGCAAGACTGTACGTGCATAGCAATCATTTTTTCCACGCACGTGCAGGATGTGGAATATTCTTCCACCCGAGGTTTTCCTAGAGAGCTACAACATGGGGTCCTTCAAACATCTAGTGTTCAGGTGGCTTCTTCACAAACAAGGCCGCCTACTCATCTATAACACCCTTGATGTTGCAGATGTCCATGAGTTACGGTGACTACTTTCCATTAGGTAGACCCTCTGCCTGTATGCTCTCTTTGGGTAATAGGTATAATAAAAAAAAATTGTGTCTTGACAAAAATTTTGAAAACAGAAGCTACTTTTGAAAAATTAAACCCTTCGCTGAAATTAACCTTGTATAACATAATGCTGAACTGTTCGTCATTTAATTTCTTGTGTAATTTATTTAAACTGATATATCTATTCTCTTTGACACTTATCTAAGTTATAAGAAAGAAAATCTAATTATTTTTTTTATATTTTTAGAGGACAGAAAAGTTAAGTATTAAATGTTATGAAAATTCAAGTTAGTTTTATTTAACAGAATTGACAAGAATTATACAGTTAAAATAATATTAGCCAGCAAATTTTTTGTCTTCGTATTTTAACAAAATATGCTCAAAAAATAATTATATAACATCACTTATCATGTTATAAATAATTTAAAGTCCCAAGGGCTTCACTTCGTAGATTTTAAGTAAAACTTTGGTTTTTTCAAACTAAACTTACAAACGAAGTTTAAATAAACAATTATTAAATTGACATAGTATCAATACTTCGGTTGCATTCAAGAGAGCTGGAAACTTTAACAAAATAATAATTACAGATAACCTTTATTTAATCTTCTTAACATCTCATTGGTATCTATTGTTACTGTGCCTTATCTATCTTACTAATCGAGTCTCAAAGCAAATTAACAATTATAGTTGCTTTATGTTCGGTAAGTGACAGTGGCAGAAGCCCTAAAATGAAACAATGAGGTGTTCTTAAGGTAACACACTTTGAGTTACAGCTATAGGTATACTGTCTTTGTCTAATGTATTTTAACATATTAAAAATATTTATGTATTTACGGAGTAAGATATACCTTCCATGTAGGTATTTAAAAAAAAAGATTTACAACCAAGCTCAAGATATACTAATCATCCTTCTATGAAATATAACATGTAACACTTCTTTCATCATGTTTTAATATAGAATTTAATATCGTTAATTATACTGAATTTAATTATATAAAGGCAAATATTTAATAATTTAAATAAACTTAATTTATTAATCAAACTGATGCAAATAATTAAATTCTGAACTGATTCCGAACCAAGAAATCAGGTTTGGAAATGACATATCATTTGCCAAGTTGTCAAAAAATGTCAGCCAACAAGGAAAATAACCTTGTTCAGGCTTATGTAGAATTAAATAAATTTTGCCAAAATGGAGACTACGAAAGGGCACTGAAGGCTGCTGGAAAAGGTATTTCTATAAAAACTTCAATATTTCATTCAGAAACATTAAAAAAAAGATGTTACTTAGAAAGTTGTATCGTATGTGACTACACGGTTCAATATTCTTCATTCCAGTCCTTCAAATATCTCCGAATGAACAGAAAGCTTTTCACTGTAAAGTTGTGTGCTTCATACATTTGCACAACTTTAAAGAGGCTTTATCTGTCCTCTGTAATCCCAAGAATGCGGCGCTGGCATCCGACTTGGTGTTCGAGAAGGCTTACTCTCAATACCGTTTGAACTGCCCCAAAGATGCCTTGGACACTGTGGATAGTGCGTCCGAGTTAACACCAGCATTAAAGGAACTTAGGTGATCATTTTATATCATTTCCATAATATAAAGCATATCTCAGTTAAAGCAGACATTTCAAGCATATATATTATTATATTTACTCGTAATTTTAGAGCTCAAATCTTATACCGACTGGAACAATACCAGGAGTGCTTCAACCTTTACCGTGACATAGTCAAGAATACCGATGATGACTATGAAGATGAGAGGAAAGCAAACTTGTCAGCTGTGGTCGCAAATCTGGCTGCTATCAATCAAGTATGACATATTACATATGTAAAATTTTTATAAGTCTAGTATAAATAATATTAACTAGCTTTACTCATTTATATAAAAAACTCTTATATGTAAATATCATCAAAAGTATGAGTATTTTTATATAATATATCATGTTTTATCATTACCAATATGTGAACTGTAGTATTCTCATTTTGTCTACCCGTGATCACAGTTGCTGCAAAGTAATCAAAACTTTTGAGTTTATTGCTTAAAAAAATATAAAATACTGTGTAAGAATCTAGAAATATTAATTTCATTTAAATGAATATTTGCAAAAGTCTTGGATCTCATAATTTATGAACTAATCAACCAGATTTAATTATACTTATCAAACTAATAATAATATTATTTTATTTTTCAGTCCGCAGATCTTCCGACATTCGAAGAGAGTACCTATGAACTATCATATAACTCGGGAACTACTTTAGTTATGCGTGGCAAGTACAACGAAGCGTTATCAGTACTGAAGAAAGCTGAACAAGCATGTTCGGAGAGCATTATTGATGATGGAGGTACTGAGGAAGAAGCTAAAGAAGAAGCTGCCATTATACGGTAAAAAAATTTTACTTTTATCATTATTAATACACAAAACAGTAATTTTCTTTATAAAAAACACTACTTAATATTGATTTAACATAAAAACAATATTGTAGTAATATTTATTGAGATTTGAACAGATAATATAGAATACTTAATTCACTAACTTGTCAGAATGTTACCTTAAACAGAAAAGCACTTGAAAATATTTCCGAGGTTGCCGTTCCATATATAGCTCACTTCAAAGTTTCATTCTATGTTATTGGCTAGGATTTTCATACACAATATAATAGTGTAAATCACTGTTTCTATATACCAAAAGTTTTAATACAAATACAATAGATTAATTTGATATTTTCATATTCAGTGTTCAGCAAGCATTCTGCCAACAACAAATGGGCAAAGAGAAGGAAGCGGCGTCTTTATATCATAATGTTCTTAAAGATAAACCAAGCGACCAAGCTCTTGTTGCTATCGCTAGTAATAATCTTGTAGTCATCAATCGGTATGTACATAATTATATCAATAACTTATAGACTCTTATAGAAATTTATGTGTATTTTATACTAATATTTCAGTGATACAAATGTATTTGATTCCCGCAAACGCATGAAGGCTGCAACTCAAGATGGTCTCGAGCACAAACTTACCTCAAGACAACGAGCCTCTATAGCGTATAATCAAGCACTACTTGCTATATACTCTAATCAGGTAACACATATACATAGAATCATATATATCTGTTTCGTTTCTTTACATGGGCTAACACAATCTTATATATAAAATTCTCGTGTCGTGGTGTTAAATAGAAAACTTCTCCGATACTGCGGGATCGATTTTGATGAAATTTTGTGAGCATATTGAGTGGGTCTAAGAATCGACCAACATCTATTTTTCATACCCCTCAGTGATAAGGGTTGTTCACCCTTAATTTTTTTTCTTATTTTTTTATAATTTATCATTAAAAAATACTTACAAACCAACATTTTTACGTTTATATCAACAACCCCTATTTTTTTTAATGTCAAAACAACGTTTGCCGTGTCAGCTAGTATTTATCTATGAATAACTAGCTTTCCGTCCGCAGCTTCGCCCGCGTGGAGTTCAGTTATATCGCGTTTCCAAGAGAACCTTTCAAAAGTCTGGGATAAAAACTATCCTACGTTCTTTCTCAAGGTCAAGTCCATCTCTGTACCAAATTTCATTAAAATCAGTTCAATGGTTTAGGCGTGAAAGCGTAACAGACAGACAGACATAGTTACTTTCGTATTTATAATATTAGTTGGGATTATCATACAAGTCAATACCATGGAAATGCAACCTATTAAGCAAATTCATTATGAAATATTTTAGCCGGACTTCTGCAAGCAATGCTGTGTGAAACTCAATCGTGAGTTCAAACAAGATCATCGAGCAACACTCGTTGAAGCTGCTTCACTTCACAAGGAAGGGAAAAGACAACAGGCTATTACATTACTGTTGAAGAGTGGGGGCGTACTTGTGTTGGCTGCTGTACAGATTATGTTGGCACAAGTGAGTGTTATGTACAGTATGTACAGAATATTGAGACCCTTTCAACTATATTAAAGTTTTTATGTATGGTAAATTTTTACAATTTTCACATTTACAGATAAAGATAAAGTAGTAGTATTCATCATGTACTTGTTAGTATATACTAAGTTATATATTCAACAAGTTAAATATGTAGTTACAATGTTTATATATTTTATATATGAAATCAAAAAAATTTACAATAAACTAAGTTCTTAAGACTTATTAGTCTTTTTATTTATTATGAAATATTTCAATTCATAACTGATTTATTTATACAGGGTGATCGTAAGGGTGTTGTCAAGTTATTAGAAGACAGTGAATTTAAATACAAACCGGCGGTCATTGGTCTTCTATACACCCTGTTGGCAGCTGATAATGAATATGAGAAGGCTTCTCAGATGTTCACTGATGTCTATGAACATTACAAGAATGATGATGAGGTAATTTACAGTTTTTGAAACAAAATTAAGTTTTCTAGGGAAATTCAATATAATTTTTGTCTCTAGGAAATACCATTTATCATTCTACAATACGAAAAAGTAGATATTTTTCTAAATCTCACAATCTTATTAGTGTTTACTTCAGATACTCGTGAAATTCGGGAACTAGGTAACGTAATAAAATCTATTTATTAAAAAAAAACAAATGTACGTAATTAATTTTTCTATTTGGCACTTTGAAGCCGAATATAAATATGTAACTAAAAATATTTTTACTCCTACTCTTCACTTTGTTGTAATTTAACATACAATAGACGGTTGACCAAATTGTGGTGATGCTAACACAAAGTCACATATATTGAGTCACATACTCAAATGCCATATATAAAAGAGTTTTATTGTCATGTTTCTTATATATATAATATGTAACTCTAGGCTATGTCCTCACTCCGCGGCGTGTGGCGGGCGGCTGCGGACGCACACGCTCGCGCCGGGGACTCCGCCCGCGCGGCCCTAGCGCACGAGGCGCTAGCACGAGCAGCGCCGCAGGACAAGCGGAGTCTCGCGCGACTAGTGAAGGCGCTCCGCGGAGACCCCGCCAGGGCGAAAGCCCTCGCTGAAGCCCTACCACCTATATCAGAGCTTGAGGTTCGTTGATATAGAGCTTAATAAAACTAAATTTCCAACTATTATATACTAGCTGCGCCCCGCGGTGTTACCCGTTAATTTCCGGGATGTAAAGTAGCCTTTATGTTATTCCTGGACGTTAGCTTCCTGCATACAAAATTTTATCAAAATCGATTCAGCCGTTTAAGTGTGAAGAAGTAACAAACATACACACACACTCACAAACTTTCGCAATTAAAATATTAGTAGGATATAAGAAACTTATATAAAATATGTTCAAATATGTCCCATTTTCAGTGTAAAATCGACGTGGATGCTCTAGAGTCGTCTAAATGGATGATGGGTGCTAAGGTTGTCAAGAAAACTGTTCAGAGTAAGCAGGAACAATCGCCAGGGTGAGAATTATATTTAAATGATTTTATATTAGCCTACAATGTTTTAAACTAAATATGACTTTGCATGAAACTAATATTTTCGGATTACTCCGTGTATTTCATTATTTTTGAAGCCTGTGATCACGGTTGCTGCAAAAGTAACCGAAACGTCGTTGAAATAATATAATTATATTATATTACTTTCATATAAATGAATACTCGCGAAATTCTTAGATCTCATTAAATATATAACGTTTTCAGTACTCCCGGTTCGGAGCTGGGACAGAAGACTAAACCTAAACGTAAACGAAAGACCAAGCTACCACCTAACGCTGACCTCTCCAGACCACCGGATCCAGAAAGGTATGAATTAAATATATCAAAAACTTATTATTACTCTATATTTTTTATTAATATTAATCTATAATACTGATGGGTCCTATGTATGAAGGCCAATGAAGCAATTTAGCCATTTTCATTTTGTTTACTGTACACACTTCATAATACTGTATTCTACATCATCCATTTAAATTGTATTTGCTGGTGGAAAGAATTAAATTTTATTGCCGTTAAAAAGTATAAGATACACACTTTGTAACGTATAAAGGATTATTTAAAGTAGATTATATAAAAAAAGTTTATCAAGCTCAAATGACGTACATGTATGTCATAGTTGCTATGAAAAGATTAAAAAGTATCAGTTGTTGCATGTAAAAGATACATTGAAATCAAACTTAAGACGCCTCTACTGTAAAATTGACATTTTACACATTGGCCCTTATATATAGGAGTATGTATGTGTACAATAAATATAATAATTATGTTGATTACAGATGGCTGCCCAAGTATGAGCGCACGGCGTACCGCAAGCGGCGCGGCGTGAGGCGTGACGTCATCAAGGGCAGTCAAGGATTAACCACCGCCGCTGTTGATCAGTAGTAAGTGAAATATATTCTATATAGACTATATATTAGAGTTCTCAAAATAACTACCGAAATTTTCAATATTTTACTCCCTATTATTCAATATTTAAAAAAATAATATTGTACTGATTGAACTCTAACAGTGAGTTTGCAGGTTAAAAAATCGTATGCCACACTCCTACACTAGTAAAAATTAGTTACCGATTAAAATTATGGGACTCAAAATATATTTATAATATATAAAAGTATGGCAACACTGTCAATACCTGTCAAACAATGAACTAACTAGATAATGAAAAAAATAACACATCTCTCATAGCTAGAAAGGATGTTTCCTATGCTAATTACTTTATAATACATATAAATAATAAATAATCCATATTAATATATGAAGTACATACTAATTTCTGTCATTACAGCGATATGAGCAAACAAACTCCTTCTACCGCCACGAAGTCGCCTCGAGTAGAAGTTAAGACAACGGAGACTTGGACAAGGAAACAACAGAAGAAGAAGGGCAAGGGAAGGAAATGGTGAACAATAAACTATAACATGTATTAAATGAGACTATTATTATAACCTTTGATAATTATAAGTTAAAGCTGACTGAGTAATATGTGTACGAATATGTTGACATTGACATCTTCTATATATATAAAAATGGATTGCTGTTCCTTAGTCTCACTAAAACTCGAGAACAGCTGAACGGATTTATCTCATCTTAGTCTTGAAATGTTCGTGGAGGTTCAGGGAAGGTATAAAAGGTGAGAAAAATTGATTCATTTCCGGGAAAACCCTAAAAACAGTCCTTTTCTATTTCCCATACAAATGTTTTCTTTGACATTAGATTTGACAACTAACTAATATGTCAATCGTTTTGTTCGATTGAAACAGGAAAAACCTGATTTTTTATGGCCTCTAGGACGGAATAGAGTTCGCCCGGTCAGCTATACATATATTACTAATGATAAAATTAACGCGGACGAAGTCGCGGGCAAAAACTAGTAGTATTATGATTCTTGTATGGATGAAGTTAGTTTAAAAATATTTAAGAATATTTGTGCTACGAAATTTATTTTAAAGCTGCGCATACTCGATTTTGTAGATTGAAGAAATGTAAATCTTAAAATAAAATGCCCAATATAATGTATTTAATTCAAGTTATATAGCAGTAACTTTTTTGAAATGAAGTTTAGAGTTTAAACAATGCACCACAACCCACTATTATTAACGAATAAGAAGTATTCGTCTTCCAACAAAATTGTATTTAAATTTCAACACTCTGGGAGGAGATAAAAAGATAGAGCGAAAAGTAATGCGTGGCGTTACTTTGTGACTTGTAAGTAATGTTAATAAAGTTTGTCTTAAAGAAACACTTAAAATTCATTAAAAATTAATTTCTACCGCTGCCTGTTTTTATTCCGATATTATGAAGTTTGACTCCTTCCGCGTGGAAGGAATCTACGCACAATTTTTTCTCAATATTTGAATGGAGTCCAAATTTAAATATATTTAACGAAGTGAAAAAAAAAGTTAGAAAAAAATATTTTAGATTATAATATGTACAACAGTTTGAAACAAGATAATATATTTTGATACATTTAGCATATTGCCGGTACGTTTGTAAGTTGGTAAGGTTTTGGAATGGTGGGGATATGTTTTGCAAAGGTATATATTTTAGTGCAACAAATACTGGTCACTTTTGTGCTTATCAATAAGACAAAGTCATAATAGTAATAAAAAAATGTGTCCAATTTATGTGCTCGCAAATGAATTCTATGTACGCAACATAGAATTACGCGAGCTGAATTGTGCTGGCAACTATACCAACATACCAATTAGTAAAAAGGCAGTAATTTTGTGTATTAAAATAATTCTTTTTCCATATTTTATAACATAATGTATAATATAGATATCTTCATTTGTAATTAATCAAAATTAAAAGAACTGCCTTATTGGTTTAGGTTTCACAATTTAATATAGGAAATATAATATCAATATAAATGAGCACACATATAATTAAAAATACATTTATTGTCTTATCACTTCCTAGAGCTCTTCCTCTTTGACTTGCCCGGTCGCTGATTCTTTTTATTACTTGGCTTCTTGTTATTTGGCTTGAAGTTCTTAGTTTTAAAATTGAATGGTTTCTTTTTGGCTGAGCTGTTGAATCCTTCCATTTGGTTAGTTGAATCCCTTGTGTTTAACTTAGATCCCTTCTTCTTGCCTCCGAAACCAAACTTCTTATCTTTCATAACTCTCTTCTTATTTACTTTCACTTTTCCATTATTTCCTTTACTATTATTTTTACCTTTATTGTCGTCTAGGAAGTCTAAATCTGTTGATTTTCCTTTCCTTACTCGTTTTAATTGTTCCAACATTTGTCTTTTGTCAGCCGCTTGTTTCAATTTTGCATCAACCTAAAACAAAATTGATTACAATTAAATGCTCTAATATATTATGTAAGTGATATATGTGCATATATACTATATGTATGGCTATATTTTACCAAGACCCTAAAATATTTCAATATTTTACTTATTATAAAGTACACTGTGCATGTTTAGTATAGCCCCATCTTGTAAATCAGAATGTCCAAACTTGATGGGACCCAGGGCCAATAAAAATAACAAAATCATCCTTATTATAACTAACGATATAATTATTACCAGTATTTGCTCATTCATTTATTTAAAATACGATAAAAAGATTCTACAGACCACTAAAATCCAAACCACAGGGCCACAAATGGCCTTTGAGTCACATTTTGGACAACCCTGATGTAAATCATAGCCGTTCCTTTATCATTCTTCAACTAACCTGTACTCTATGAGCTATCTTCTTCTGTTCCCTCAACTGTCTAACTTTCTCAGTCCGAGCTTGCGCCGCCTGTTTTGCCATCAAATTCTTACGTACTTTCTGCATGTGCTCGTCAGATTTCGCCATTTCAGCGAAATAATCATCTGGCCTGAATGGAAAACCTTGTAATAATGAGATCTAAGATTTTCGTGAATCTTATTCAATTAAAAGAAACTAATATATTCCGGATGCACTATTCGACTTTATTTTTGATAAAAAACTACATACTCCTGATGTTGTGGCTACTTTTCAGCAACTATGATCACGGACAGACAAGATTTGATCATATGTAGTTACTGTAAAGTAGCCAAAACGTCGGGAAGATGTAGTTTTTTATCAAAAATAAAGTCGCATAGTACATCCAAAAAATATAAGTTTCATTTAAACCTAAATAAAATATTGCTGGGAATTTCTCATAATTAAATCTCTAGCCGCATTATTTTAAATACTGGTGTTTTAAAATTATTTCATCCTACAAGAACATCATAAATAAAGTTTGTCTTGAAATATAATGCCAAATACCAAGTGGTGTACCTACTTCACTTTAAAAGATCATAAACACTTTATCTATAAAGATTCAAAGAAAATTTTGTATACATAGCTTACAAATTATTTATACAAATCATAGTTTTATCTTACACTATAAACATTAAATCCTACTGATATTATAATTGCGAAAGTTTATGAGTGTGTGTGTATGTTTGTTACTTCTTCACACTCAAACGGCTGAATCGATTTTGATAAAATCTTGTGTACAGGAAGCTGACGTCCAGGAATAACACATAGACTACTTTACATCCCGGAAATCTGCAGGTAACACCGTGGGGTGCAGCTAGTAACATATAATAATTGGGATTTACCGTCTAGTGGGTATGTTAAGATCTTTAAGGCGTTTGATGCCTTCTATCACCGCTGCTTGGGCCTGACGATGGATCAAGTTCTCTCTTTTGAATTCATTTAACACAGGATCTTGTGACGGATCATATACCACATTGCCTTTTGTATTTTCTTTGATGTTTCTGGAAACATTCTCATATTTACATAGATGCATTAACAATAACTAAATTAAATACTGCGATGCTTTATTAAGTACTATTAGCAGTACTGTCGTGATATTCGTAGATAAAAATAAAATACTTACTTCCTTCTTTGAGCTGTTTGCTGCATCTGCAACGCTACATCAGGCGCCATCGGTGCTACGGAGTTCACAAGATCCAGTGTTTCGACCCATGGTAATTTTAGCTCAAACTCTTTCAATTTTGCTTTCAAATCTGCTACGTTATTTACATACTTTTTCTGTACCTTTTCTATTTCCTCATTTAATCCGGGTTTTAGTAGACCCTTCGCGAATGCCTCTTGTAACTAAAAAATTAAAAAACATTATTAAACTTATTCAAATTTATATTAACCCTTGTAAATATAATTCTACTTACGTCTTCATCAGAATCAACTTCTGTATCACTATCATTTAACACAAAGTCGCTCATTGTAAATATTTATAAGGCTACTGTAAATAATATAGTTTTAAATTTGCAACTTAATATAAAATCTTGCTTGGTTAGTAAATATAACCTTTTACATGAAGATTTAAAGTAAACGTGCATTTGACACCCGAATACAGATCACAAATTAGAGATTGTGTTGCCAGAGGGCACTCCATATTTTATTCTAGTAAAAGCTTAATTTTTTTTTTTTTAGTTTCGACTTGACTTATGCTGTTAGCCCTAGTGGCTTTTACAGCGTCACCGAGAGGGGTGGGTGATCCTGATGGGATCGACCCGATTTAATTCGGGCCCGAAGGGCCCGACCAGGGGAAAGGCTTGAGAGACTAATGCAAAAAAACAATTATAATTTTTATTCATATAAAAATTGTAAACTTCATTGCTATTACACTCGCTATTCTCAAAATAACAAATCACTGTTTATAGTTCTTGAAAAATAATTTTTATTAGTCCCGATAAATTTAACACATCGGAAAGTATTTAAAAAAATTAACAATATTACATTGATTCTTCAACTGATTTCTCTACAGGATCAATGCTTTAATAGTTGGAGCAACAATCCTTAAAGTTATTGTTACAGGGTAGTAATAGCCCGTTATGAAATTTGATAAAGAATACTCATTTTTTTGGTACTTTTACACTTCAATACCTGACACCAACATCGATTACTTTTATTATGTTTTCGAAGTTAATAAGGTTAATATTAAAGAAAGAAAGATTTTTAATATTAAAGAAAGAAAAATCACATACTGATCCTGTTTTTTTTTTGTAATGAAAATCATGGAGTTAACAGAACACATATTTGCATTCCAGAAGTCTTCAGTTAAATAAGTCGCAAAAAGATTATTATTGAAGTGAAACTTATAATGCAACTTTCAAAAAGGTTGCGTTAATCGTTCAACGCCACTGGGGAGAGGGAGTAGAAAGAGACGGAACGAGAGTAAATGGGTGGGTCAATTGTGAATTGTCAGCAATGTTTCTAAAATTTATCTTAAATAAACAATATGAGTTAGCTAAAAAAATATTTCTACCTCTTCCTACTTTCATTTCCGCATTCAACTTCCTAAGTTTCACTCCATACACTATTTTTCCTGAATCTTACTTACAGTCACCTAAAACTACTAAGTCGCTAAATTGGCTTCGATGAAATTTAGTGAATGTGGAGTAAAATGAAAATAGAATAAAATAATTGAACAATTCATAATTCTTGGGATAAAAACTTATTATGGTCAAGTAAGATTTGTTTCAAAATAGCAGCTTCTGAAAATCTTTTGTATATACATATTCTAAAAATTATAAAAGAAAACTTTCTTGAAAAAAAGAAAATTGCTGCAAATTTGAACCTGATAATGTTATTATCCGATTACAATATGCTATGAATACTTGTTTAAACTATTTTCTGTTTACTATTCACCGTTTTCTTTCAAAGCTTTTCTGTAGCTTAAAAAAAATAATAAAGAAAAAAAAATATTTAAAAAAGAAAAATAAGAAATAATTTGTGGTGAGATTTTCCAATTATTTTTGCAAAAATTATTATAAAATTTTTGTGTAATTTAAAATAGCATTAATATTAATTGATTTCTAAACAGTTTACTTCATTGCAACCTTTATGAATAAAATATTTATTATTTGTTATGTTACAATAGATATTAAAGATTATAAATATTTGGAAATGTTTTTCCTGAGCACTATGGTTTCTTTAATCTGTGATATGTAGATTACAAAGTAGAATTTCACATACATATATTTGTAATAGCTAGAAATGTTTAAATTAAATAAATATATTTATAAATATTATTCTCGTCATAAAGAACAAGAAGAAAATTAATAACATGTATATGTCTAAAAGATTGTATAATATATATTTTGCATAGTTAAAATGAATTTTGCATCGTTTTTGTTTTAAAATAATTGAAAATTCTTAGGTGTCTCGATGAATATATAATTTTTATTATTTAGGGTACTCAATGAAATATAACAATACTGAATACTTATTCCAGATAATAAAAAAAGTTCAAGAGCTTTAATAAAAATGAAAATTAATCTATGGAATTTCATGGATCTCTAATACTTCTTCCTTTTAAAGTCGTAATCAATGACTTTATTAATAAACATTTTCTTTAAATTTTCACAAAAATTTCCATTTTTCGTCAGTGTTAAAAAAGAAATTGAATTTTTCACGTCTTTTTATATTATTATTTTGTAACTTTTATGGCAAATTACTTAAATTCAATAATTTCTCTAGCATTTGACCGGATGTGGTAAGTACTTCGACATGTTCCGTGAAACCCCCCGTTGTTTTGTATCAAGAAAATGCAATGGCCGCCATCTTCGAGTCTTGTGAATGTTTTGGTCGTAGTTTCGAACTTTGAGGGCTTTTTCATATATGATATGAAATTATCGAGCAGAATTAGTTTCGCTACGTTATAGGAATTCTGAATTCATTTGTGTGTTGGTTAGTATTACTTTTTATTAGTACTTATTTTCTTATAAAGTGTTTACATCTGGATTTTGTAGTAAAACTTTTATAATTTTTACTTTTTGTGACTCTTACTTGTGTTTTAACTTCAGTTACCGGTGATCGTTTAGTAAATTATGTTTACGAAGTTTCGGGAACTATATGAAAATGATATAAATATACAAACCTCATTTTCTTATGTATTTATATATTATCTCTTTGTTACTTAGCGGAATATATGGTACCAATTTTCCAGTTTTTCACCAATTTGTTAATAGGCTTATTATTTATTATATGTATAATATGATATTTTAGGTTAGTGTTTACTTTTTTGATGTTTAGAGACATTACAGTTTTCGTGCTACAATAATGGCGGCAGTGGATTTTAACCTGTCCAAAGATTTTCTTACTTTAAGCTCTCGTAGCTTGCGCTTTTGTGAAGTATTTTGTTTTTATTTATTATATTTTCTCGTAGGAAAGAATAAAATGTGACTTTTGACTAATTTCTGGAACAATGACCTCGACTTGTCTACCGTCATGTATTAGTGGACTAAAAATATTTCCACAAGAGTTATGCCGTGCTCAGAAATTGTTAATGAAGATTGTGCTGGCAGATGGATAAAAAGTCAATTTTCGCTTGCAGTCACGTAAAATAACCTTGGAGGCCGGGAGCTCTCCAAAGCATCATCACTGGCTTGACCCAAGATGCTATTCTCGGCATGTCAGCGACATCAGAATATGAACCATCGGTCCGGCAAGTAAGTTAACATAACCATTACCACATTTAAAGTGCATAATATCATATACATTAATGTTAAACATTGTATGACTATAGTCACTTACTGTGCAAAAGTTACATGTCTAATAATATTTTCTAATTAAATTTCGTTTTTAACACCGCATTACATCCATTATAATATTATTTCCATTAAATATATAACATCTCTTGAGGTTAAAATTAAAGAAAGTTGAATAAAGATTTCCCAAACCAAAGTTGTATTATTGATGCCATAAATGTTTTGATTTTACAGTCTGTAAATTTGGTGAGTACATGTGATGCAATATAAAATATGTTAAATGTATCTAAATTATCACAGAACTTACAAAATGAGGACATTTGATAATGTTTTGAATTATTATTGAAGCACTGTGTGATGTATGTTGATTGTATGATAATAAATTCATTGACTGAACAAATGCATTGCTTAAAACTTACATAGAACTTTGAAAGTCATAGAAAATGTTACTCTATTAATTCTTATACCATTCTAAAGTATAAATATTTGTTATTTTATGTACTGCTGTTGCAAAATGTTATATATGTGTATCTTTAATATAATAATGATGTTTCAATAATGTTTAAAACGAAATTGTTCTAGGGTTACGGGCCGACCACCTCCAGTGATAACATTTACGAGCATGTGTTGGATCACAAATTAATTGATACAATGGATATATCTAGCGTAAGAACCCCAGTATTGAGGGCCGTCACTCTGTCTCCCACACAGGACCCCGAACCTGATTCCACTAACCCCGAAAGCATAATACAATCTATACATAAAGATAAAAAAGATATCGAATATCACATCACTAAGAGGTGTGAAACTGAAATGTCAATAGACCCCCTTCCTAGGATTGTAAGCATCGAAGAAACTACTTATGATAATGTGGGACATATAGCTTACCATAGCATACAAGAGACGGACGATGTAGGCAATGGTAACTATGTAGAGAACGCAACACTCATACCTGCCCCTCTGAATGCTGCTATTGTCCAAAATGTGACAAAACTACCCCAAAACTTTACAATTAATGTAGATGCAACCGTTGGTAATATTACAGCCATACAGAATGTGTCTCAAGATGTAACAGGTAACCAAACATTATGGTTACCTACAATCCTCGCTACAAGTGCTGCTACGGATAGTAAAAGTGAAGAGGACAGGCCTCCGGGAGTATCGCAAATAATCATTACAAGTGAGAGCTACGTTAATGATGTGAGTCACAGCGGACGCAGAACTAACATCATTACCGAAACAAACTATATAAGTCGACCGAAGACATCTAAAGTACAGATCCTAAGTAATATATCGCTGCCTAAAAATTCTAACTACTCCCAACAGTATATAGCCCAAGGCAAGGAGGTTAACACTCCTGTATATGGAACACAAAATCATGTGTATAAATTGAATACTAATGTTGTATCACAGAAACATTTAAACAGTACTATGCTAAGCACAAAACCTCCGAAAAGCCAATCTCTAATAGGTGCTACTCTATCTCCGAGTGTTATAAATAATAGTCCAATTAAAAATGTGCCATATGGTCACACATACTCCAAAAGCACAAACTTAAATAAGGTAAACAATGGTGCTAATGTGAACGCTATAACTGCAACCACCGGTAACACTCAATGCCACATTTTATCCAGAGTTGTATCTGGACCTAACAAGATATCGGTACATTCTGGCCGCAAGTCTGTAAATACGTTTAAAGGATCTAAAAACTCAGCGGCCAGTCAGAAGAATCAGTCTAGATCTATAAAAATCATTCAGCAGACTGGCAGCGCCCATAAGTCTGAAAATAAATCGTGGTCCGCGAATAACGCGACCTATAAGAATCAAGGTACAAGTTACGGGGTTATAGAATCTAATACTTCCAAAGTTATACAGAAAGTTGGAAGTCCCACACATAAAAACCAGCAAACCATGACTTTACAGAAGGTTCCTAAAGGCGAGCGTCTAGTGTTGCAGTCGCCTTGTGGGCCGGTCCTGTTGTCCACGGCTCCTTTGAGTAGTAGTTTGCCCAAAGGCCCGCACTACATTCAGTCAGGGTCTACTCCCAACCTCCGATATGTTCAAACCTACGGTCCCGACAACCAGCTCTCTACAGTTTCCCAAGTGTCAGCCAACCAACAGTTGACTGCACAGATTTTACAGTCGCTGTCTCAGCCAAAACTCATATTACAAAGTCCTACACAGATTCAACCAGTGAAAAATAATGTAATACAACCACCCCTTGTAGAGGAACCAGCAGATATAAAACCTGTTAATCAAAAGAGGATTGTATTGTAAGGAAATTGTATATTATGTGTTTTTTTTTTCACAATAATTATTTATAAACTAATAAGTTTTTTATTTTCAGTGGTGACAAATCTACACTTCTGACAGCCGATGATATTATTGGTATGGAGGAGAGGCCGAATTTGTCGGAGGAATTGCGTCGTTACTCATATCAGCCGCTAGCATTTGTGATGCTGGATCATACATATGCCCTGCCAGCTCAAAAACAACCGACGGTCAGCACTCCAACAACAACAATCTCATCGGTGTCACCAGTGATCTCATCGCCGCCGACAACAACAGCGCCGATGAGTCCCATGAAGTCATCGCCGATCACGACAGCGTCCCAAGAAGCTGCAGCGCCTATACCGACCAGCGCTATCGTAGCTCCGACGACAACAGCGCAGTCGTCCCTCACATACAAGTCTTCCACTCAAGATGACGACACGGCATCTGTGATATCTTCTATAGAGGGTGAGAGGCGACCTCCCGCCCCGGGCGGCAGTGACACGGAGACCGCTCCCGAAGGAGAGGAGGAGGGGAAGACGAGGTGCATCTGTGACTTCACCCACGACGACGGATACATGATATGCTGCGACCGGTGCGGCGAGTGGCAGCACGTGGACTGTATGGGCATCGACAGGAACAATATACCCGACGCGTACATGTGTGAACTGTGTCAACCGAGGACGATAGACCGGCGACACGCTAGAGCCATCCAGCTGAGGAAGAGGGAGGAGCTGAGCGCGCTGGGAGCCTCGGATTCTGACTCATCTGAATGTAGTCGACCTCCGGGACAGAGAAGGAAACGTTTACTGACCGTCACCACGTACACTAACACCAGCGGCTCCTGTGTCACCACATATAACTCTAACTTGCCTGTATTGCCGCCTTTACCTCAACCCACCGTGTCGCCTCTGCCGAAACGAGGCCCGAAACGTCCCAAGAAAGCCGAGGTTGTGAGGAAATGTACGAAGAGGAAACTGACGGAGAAGAGAGTTAAGAGGAAGAAGGAGATGCTATTGAACAGGAGCAAGTATAACAACACCATACCATCGAGCCAATCACACTGGCGGGACCTGTACGAACTGGCTATGACGAATCACTATAGTCCGGAATTAAGAGCTAAAATAATGAAATACAGCAGCAAACTTGGAAGCACGCCGAACATGGCTTCGGCTATTACAGCGCATTTATGTACCACCGTGCCACATGCGGGAGGAAAAATTCTCATCGCTACAAAAGAACTGAAAGACAATACACCCGTTATAGAATTGCGAGGCAAGTATATGCTTTCGAATCAACACAGACCTCAACTGCAAAATACTGCTCGAGCGGGAAGCCAAAAACCTGGTCCCTTTGTGTTCTTCTACAGGTTACCGAAAGACAATACGCAGATATGTATCGACACTCGGACCTATGGGAACGAGGCGAGGTTCGTCCGTAGATCATGTAAGCCGAATGCTGAGTTGCAGCACTGCATAGTCAAAGGAGCGTTGCACGTGTATTTGGTATCCATTACTGATATACCGTCGAATACTGAAATAACAGTCGGTCATGACACTAACGGCAGTAAACAGCCGTGCGCTTGCGGGAATCCCAAGCACTGTAAGGTGAACGGACTCAGTGTGATGGTGCCTCGCAAAAGCTTGGACTACCCTCAGAGAGAGAAAAGTAAAAGGAGCCGATGCTATAGTTCCTCATCACCGGTATCTCCGCCACCGGCTCCGGTTGTGCCCACAGTGAAAGATATTCCAGCGCCATTTTCACCAAAATGTGAGAAGAAGTCTCCTCTCAAATATGAGTATCCACCGATGTCCCCAGTCAAAGAACCGCCTGTATTATCGTTAGACTATAATCCGGCGACGTTGAAGTTCGACCTGTTCCAAGATTTCAAACAGGAAAATCAAGAGTTCGATCTCACCGCCAAAGAAGAGATGAAGTCTGATTTGGACGAGCCAGATTTTATTAAGATCGAGCCAAAAGTCGAAGAACCCATACCTGAACCGGAAGAGGAACCCGAACCGGAAACGATTCCAGTTCCGGCCGAACCTGAGCCTGAACCTGTTACTGAAGAAAGCTTGGAAACCAAAGAGGAAATGCTGCTGTCGCCGCCACCGCCTCCACCGCCGCCGGAGGAACCAGAACAAGAACCGGAGCCGGAACCAGAACTAGATCCTGAGCCAGAACCGGAACCGGAAGTCGATAGAAAAGACGAGGAACAGTCGACAGAGTTTAAAAGCGAAGCTGAGAGGCCAGTCACTAGGGAATTGGCAGCTAAGTCGGCGTGTCACGATAGGTCGGCACGATCTAGCCGGACCACGTGCGTCAACCAAGAATCATTGGACTATAAGACAGACGACTCACAAGATAAACTGCCCACCAAGACGAGCAAAGACAAGGACAAACGGAAAATGGTAAGGAAATGTTACTAAAAATATATGAATTATAGTTACATTTTATTTTATTTAATAGGAAGCCAACGTGATACACAAAAACTTATAACTACATTATAACATGATGGAACATAATTGTTACAGTTGCGTATCATCACTTACAGGCTAACTCAACGTGGATTACATAATGTTTAGATCTTACTCCAAAACTTACTAGATACAATAAAAAAAATGTATAAAACAACAAAAAGGAATAAAATAGTAATAATAATAATAATCTACAAACAGCTATATAAAAAGAAACTTAATTACATTACATTGTATTAATTCTCTGGTCAAAATGAAAATCAAAACTTTTCAGACTCGGGAGGAACGCAAGATGGAAGCGATCATGAAGGCTTTCGAGAGATTGGAAAAGGCACAGCAGCGGAAACAGGAAGTGAAGGAGAGGCAGAAGAGAAGAGAGTCAGACCCTCACCCTCACACTGAGAAGGAGGAAGAAGATGACTTGAACCTCTCCAAGAAGAGAAAGAAGTAAGCATATATATACCACATAACAGTCTTTTACAAAAGTCTTTTAACAATCTTTTACAACAGGGCACAAATTTCGTACAGCTATTGTTTATAATGTCAAGGTCCAAACACAAGGTCGGGAACACAGTTTGTATAGCATTTAATTCTACAATGATTAAAATAACGCTTTTATTTTCAGACGTAAAGGACGTGCCCGGACCGCGTCCCAGTCGAATAGACGTAGATTAAACTCCGCTGATAGTGATATGGTGACGTCGGGAGACGAGGCGCAGGCTATGTCGCCTCGAGCGCCCTCCAGACAAGACCAGGCTCTACCATCCACAGAGACTGATAGACCGCACGAAGCCGCTGAGGTTAGTTTCAATACTAGCTGCGCCCTGCGGTGTTCCGAGATGTTAAGTAGACTATGTGTTATTCCTGGACGTCAGCTTCCTGTATACAAAATTTTATCAAAATCGGTTCAGCCGTTTGAGCGTGAAGAAGTAACAAACACACACACACACACTCACAAACTCGCAATTAAAATATTAGTAGGATTTGAACACTGATTTATATTAGAATCACTTCTGATTTTAAACCATTTATTTGCTACACACATACATTATTATACAGGGTGTATGAAAAACTGTGTCAACCCTCTTAACTACGTTATCAGTATCGATAATGTAACACAATAAAACAACTTACATTTACAAACTCTTCAATAAAAATAATAAAATTAAATATTAAATGATTATTATATGTAGAGTAACAAAATGTTTGTACCCACTGGTATAACACGATGACACGCAATGACGTCATCACAGCTGCTGCGCTACTAGTGACGACCTTGAAGTTACTTTCACATTATTGAAAATATCGATATTTAAAAAATCATAACAATAAATAAATATTTAATATTAATATTATTTCGATACTTATTTTGATATATCAAACATTAATAATATGTTTGATTGTAAAACACCATTTTTAACAGAAATAGATTAACGATTTATCCTAATAATACAACATATGTAGTTAATTTACCTGAACAAGTGTCAAATTATAATATTTATTATTAATAAAAGTTATTTTAAATGAAATTATTTTAATGTGAAAAGCATAACTATTTATAGCAATATTGAAAATGTCGATAGAATATTTATCGATATAACTAATTTTTACACTTTCAAATCTCTATTCGAACAAATAACAGAATAGTAATAATAACGCCGGCGGCCCGTCGCCTGCGGTCAATGGTCACGCATGCGCCGTAGCGACTATACGGTGTCTTGACCTTGTATGAGTCAGATGTTTGAAACATTCTTTCGAAAAATGTCGATTTAAAACTTACTTAGCCTATGCACTGTAACTAACTTCTGCTTGATTTTTTTTAAATTATACTATTTTTTATAATAAGCTTATACTTATATGTATACGTGCCTTCAAGGGTTGACACAGGGGCAAGGGGTTCATCTCAGTATAAACTGTGTTAATGAACAGCACTGATTTTCAGATGGCCCCTGAATATTAGTCAAACAAACACAAATGCGCGCATACGAAAATAAATAAATGATTAACGATTTCATCTTCAGGATCTCGGCCTCAGTCCCGCGTGTCTGTTGGTGGAGGCGGCTGTGGGTTCAGTGGAATCGGCCTTCAAACTTCCGAAGACGAAGAAGACTATGGCGACCGAGTGGATCGGGAGGTCGCCCGAGAGGACGCCGTCGCCGTACACATCGCCATACAGACCGGCCTTAGTGTCCGCGCCCTCGCTGGAGAGTTTGGTCCGAGTGGCGTCCACTATGATAGGAGACCTCAGCGGGACCCCGGACTACCACGAAGAGCAGTCGCCGCCGCGGACCCCCGGCAGGGATAGGAACAGACCGCCCAAGAAGGCGAGAAGGATTACAAGGAGCAACCCCGCGGAAATCACTGAAGCGATCCCCGTACAACACAGCGCCAAGAAGAGGTGGCTGAGACAAGCCATCAGCGAAGAAAGCGACTCACCCAATGTCGGTCAGTAACGACTTGTATATAGGGAACAATATTACAACTGACGTACAAAATTATTGTTATGTACTGTAGTTGTAACATTGTTCCCTGATATGAGATATTCCGTAATAACATTACTAGTTATACTAATTTTTAAATGTAGAAACATTCGTTCCAGAATCCCCGCCAAATGAAATGGTCACGCCCTTGAAAAAGAGGCGCATGGCGAGAGAATCTCTCTCATGCGAACAGAACCCCATCGTGCCTGTGAGTTACAATATTATGTCATATTATTTAAGTTTCATTTATTATTTACTCAAATGAATCTTTATTATATTCAGTGCAATGATGAGACGTCACCGATACTAACATCGGAGGACTCCCCCGTGAAGGACGACTCGTTATGTTTAGCGCGTCAGTACAAGAGGAACATGATGGACATGTACAGCCGGGACAGGACGCGCTCCGACAGCGGGCAGGGCTCCGACGACCAGTGTAACATAGACCACGACGTGCTCAACGTGAACATACAGGGCGCGCACGACACGGAACACATACGACGGATCATAGGGGTCCCCACGAGCGAGGACGACCCGCCGCCCGCCGACACACTCAACAACAACAACCTGGAGCACGAGGACCGCCTGTACGACAAGGACGTGCCCATGGACATAGACAACACGGTCATCACGCACACCAAGATAGAGGCCGGCGACCTGCTCACACACAGCCCCACGGACAAGGCGAACAGCTCGCAGTCCGCGGACACCAGCGGGAACTCGTCGCCGCAGAGGGACGAGATGGACGACATACAGAAGAAGATACACTCGTTCCACACGGAGAACATCATGATACTGAAGAGCAGGAACAAGAAGACGCCCAAGGAGAAGAGGAAGAAGGTCAACCTGAACTTCGACCTCAACATGGTGGACGACCGGGTCAGCATACAGCTGCGGACCGACGACGACTCCAGCTCCAAGTCCTCGGAGATGAACGGGGACGAGCCCGACGACAAGCTGCACGTGGCGCCCGAGAACATCCCGCTGCCGCCCGTGGAGTCCATCCCGCTGCCCGCGCCCGAGACCATCCCGCTGCCCGAGGAGCCCGCCCCGCTGGCGCTCATCGCCTCGCCCGAGACCATCCCGCTGCCCGAGGAGACCATGAAGCCGCTCAAGCCCGCCAACAGGGACAGGGAGCCGCCCGACGCGCTATCCTTCACCACACGGTTCAACTCCACCGGCCTGTTCTCGGGGATATTCAGCAACATGGCGCACAAGTACAGGGCGCAGGCGGACGGCTGCATCAACGAGAACATACCGAGCATGGCGCTCATCAAGAACGCCATAGACAGGACCACGAGCCTGGAGAGTAGTCTGTACGACAAGGAGGGCGCGGGGCAGGTGGACGAGCTGAGGAGCGTGCAGGAGATACTCACCCGCGTCAACAACATGGACTCCAACAACAGCGTGCTGCTGTCGGGGGTGCTGCGGGGCGCGGGGGCGGCGGGCGGCGCGCCGGGGGGCGGGGCCACCACCCTCAGGTACGGCGCGAGGGCCAACGACCCCCGACTACACCCGCCGCCCCAGGACAAGCCGAAACCTGTCAGGAGAAAGGTCAGTGGATAACACAACCTTTAACTCGTAGATAATATACCAGCAAATACAGATCCCTTTGTAACTCTTCTTAGTTGTAATATATAGAGTAAATGTTGATCACGATAACCTAGTAATATTATCAAGTCGCTACGATGCCCTTGATGAATTTTAAGCTTGTTCATATAATGTATCGTTCGTTATCATTTCAAGGCTTCGGATAAGATAGTAAATATTTTTCAATGATCATCCCTGTATGTGTGTTTCAGTATTGATATAGGTATGTTATATTTCCAGTTGTCTATATCGGAGTACCGGCTGCGCCACAAGTGTGTGGAGGGGGGCGAGTGGGTCGGCGCGGAGGGCGGGGAGGAGGAGGGCTCTCGGTCCTCCGCCTCGCTGTCACCTCAGAGGCTGGACGCAGCCGCGGCGCTGGCGGCCGACGAGCTGGAGCAGAGGCTGCACAGGGACCTGGCCGCGCACCAGCCGAAAGGTACACACGGGGACACACACACGGACACAGACAAACACGCACACACAGACTCACGGACACGCAGACACTATGCTTTAACTATAAATATACTCTAACTAGCTTTTGCCCGCGACTTCGTCTGCTTTCAAAATTAGAAATGTATAGCCGAACAGGTAAACTCTATTCCTCCTCAAAGGCAGTAAATAATATTATGACTTTTATAAATTTTTTCGATCGGATGAAAAATATCCTATGTCCTTTCCTTTGTTCTAAACTATCTCTGTACCAATTTTCAGTATAACCCATACAGCCGTTCTTTAGTTATAAATAGTGTAACTAACACGACTTTCTTTTATATATAAAGATTTCGTCCGTCGGTGATCATGATTGCAGTAAAATAAGCCAAACGTCGGTTTAAATGTAGAATAGTATATTAATTCGCATAGTAGAAATATCCAAAAATAAACTCTTAGATGTCACTACCGAGACTTACTCATAAACAGTTCAGTGCTCATGTGATGAGAACTCTTGTCTGGTATAGGAACTGTGTCTGGAGTATTTTAGGCGATTCAAACTAGCCATGATACTCATAACATTATATACAATTATATTCAATATCTCTCTAAAATAATAGAATATTTAGCATCGAACGAAAAATATATTATTGACACAATTGTAAACTATATGCATTAGTTATTGTAAATCATACATATACAGGGTGACTGGTGAATTACTATCAATATTTAAGGAGAATACTCGGTACATGATTCTCATTCGAATTATGTAAAAAAAATAGGTACTTAATTTTTGACAAAATTTCCGTATAAATAAATAAAGTGTTGACATGTTCCAAGTGTTCCCAGTGTGGACGCGTGCAGCGGCGTGCTGATACAACACTACGCCGCCGCGCGCGTATGTGTGAGTGTGTGTGTATACCTAATCTGTAGGGTGTTCACACGATGCGTAATTAATTACATAACTTTTGGTTAACTTTACTTAGAAGTTTATTAATATTTATGTTATATTAATTTTTATTTTGTCATATATGATCGTCAAATATCACGTCCTCAAGTATCGATAGTAATTCACCAGTCACCCTGTATTATGTTCGCCAAGCAACAATACGTAATTATAATAAAAACACATTTGTAATTCAAATACAATAAATGTGACTTTAATTCATTATGTATAGTAATACATATTACATTATATTTAAATTCTTATATACAATACATAAGGTTGATAATATGTTACACAAGTGTCATTGTAAGGCCGAGGACATATTCTATAATAATGAGATAATATAGTAGTATGACAAATAATAAATTGAAATTTATATATATATTTATCTTACTATAGTGGAAATAATGATTAAATTTGTTAATAAATTTAAATAAAATCCTAAGCGAGTCTAATCAATCATCTAATCGGCGTACATTGTCGTACGAGATCACAAGTCGACCTTGGAGTTTGAACATATTGTTAAGGTTTTTTAATTAACCACATTACGTTGATATTAATTCACATAACGTTGTAAAGATTAATTACGGTTTTTTATAATAAATATTCGGTCCCAACAATGTTTTCCTCTAAGCTATTGTTTTTTTATATATACATATAATGTATATTAATGTGTATGTCGTGTTGTATTCCAGGCGTGTTCGACGCTCAGCCGACTGCCTCTGAACGACAGAGAGAGAACCTCAGCTCACGGCTCAGGAGAGAGTTCGGGCTCGCGCTGCCTGAGGAGGAACACCACGAACACGGTGAGGACGTACACACACACACACACACACACACACACACACACATATACACACACTCATACGTACATATAATTTACACAGTGTTGAAAAATACCTTAAAATTGATAAATTTTACACTACCTCGTGTCAATCTGCTTCTATTATGCAGGAATTATCTAATGCTAGTTATTTGGATTTGCCCCGATTGGATTTGGATTTGGATGTTCCCGATATACATATATACTAGAAGATCCGGCGAACTTCGAAATATGTGTTACGTTTTTTTTAATAAATAAATTTAGGTTATACCTTAGTCTCAGAAACACGTGGTGGTTATACTATTATTAAATAGTCGCTCATATATGAAGTTTGTATTTTTAACATAGCGTCATCTATTGAATACTTACTTAACTCAGTCAACAGATAATTGTAATAAGGACAAATAATTTTCTTTAATAGACAAATAATTTGCAATAAAATAATATTGTGACTATAAATTGAGATATACATGTATATTAGTGTGAGTCAGTATATAACACTATATATCGTTGTTCCAGATCCCTCCAAGCGGTGTGACAGGTAGACCCGGCTCAACCCGCGCCTGTGTATCGACTTCTTTCTTCATTTCATTTTCAAACGTTTTTCTGCGAGTACAAATTGTTTTTTTATTATTATTATTCCTCTCTGTACATATTGTATATAGGTGTTGTAAGGAACTGTTCGTGGTACGTGCGTATGATATATGGTATATATAAAAAACATTTTTTATATAATGACACGTTTATGTATCTTGAATATTTTTATTTATTAGACGCCTCGTCTCGGTCGGTTAAGAGTTTTGTACGCATAATGTGTAAGTAAATTATAGTTGTTTTTATTGTTTGTTTTTAATTTTTTTGTATACCGCCGGCCGGTCCGAAGCCCCGGCGTAGGTCTTGTTAGTGTTAGTTCGGGTGTTAGCGCCGGCCGAAGCCCCGAGACATATTCGGAGCGCCCGGCGTCACTCGGACTATACACGGACACCACTCATATAGTTTAAATGTTTTGTTAACGGAATATATATGAATGCTTTTAAAAATTTGCTGTGCAAGTGATAATTTATGTGTATAATAAATAGTATGACACTGTGATGTAGTCTGAGAAACAATGGTGTGCTTACTACGAGTTGACATCGACACACTGAATATAAGAGACAGTATACAATATATACACAAATACGACAAACGGCAAGTATGTAGTGTCGATGGACTCGTGGTAAGCGCACAGCCCGCAAAGTGCTTTATTATACATTATACAATACGACAAATGAAACATCGATCGCGTTTATACACTGAAGGTTGTTACTAGTGAGGTACTGAGTGGAGAGTGAAAGTTTAACAAATAAAATAAACAAAATGTATAAAATTGCTATTATTTTGTAAACATTAATTAAATTGTTTGTATGTAACAGTACATTAGTCGATCGTATGTAACAACGAATAGCCAGCCCAGTGATGAGTTATTACTTATTAGCTTGTTTTCTATAGGCCTAATGATTTTTTTTGCCGAATTTTATTTTAAGGTTTTATATTGTGGTTATTGTCGTAGTGTGACTACGAACCCAGCCCAGTCCGCGAGCCATCCACATATTATAAATTAAATCACATGTCGAATTATATATTCTGTTGAAACATTGTAACAGCTAAAATTGCGAATCTTTGCTTCGTAACAAAATCTCATGTGAATTCTAAGTTATGTATTGCTTTTTTTATATATTTTTTCTATATTCTAGGAGACTCCGTCAAGTAACCGCCTAAAAGTTATTTAATAAGGCACAGAGACCCGTGGAAAATTTGTGTTCATTTATATACTTAATATATGCGCTGTTATCAAATAACCCGATGATTTTTTTCTCTTACATTACTTTTATTATGTTTCATTATATTTTTAAATATAACTTTGTGCAAACAAATTGTCGCCGATCGGATTTAACTTAATATATTTGCATGTTCACATATTTATTAATTTATTTATACTTTAAAAATGTTCAGGTTTACGTTCCGTTCCGTTCGTTTCGTTACGTTACGTTGTATATATCCGAACGCGTAACAATATATAATAGATCTATCTACTTACAGAAACATCTACACATTGCATAATTATTATATTTAGGTATTAGAAACTGTTGCAATACGCCTAAAGGCAAACAAACAAAACATATAGCGAATAGATTGATAGGAATTAACAATAATCCGATGTTTATTTGTGATTTTATATTTTTGTATAGAAAAAAAATAAAATTAAATAATAATAATAAAATTGTAGTCTATATTTTGGATCCGATTTTATCATTGGAGTTGAAGCGGCCGATATGTTGAGAGCCGACACTTTGTAAATATAAGGAGGGTCGCTTTGTATATGTCATCGAGTAGTGTATATAGAGGAGAGACGGCGGGCTCTGGTAGTATATTAGAGAAGAAATGTTTGTGATAAAATTTTAAAATATCATACAGTAGAACAGTGTCTTGTAAATAATATTAATTGTAAGCAAAATGCTACATATATTTTGTTAAAGATGTCCGAAATAGTATGATTTGCGTTGAAGGACCGCGGCGACCCGCCGACGGTGGAAACTGCAATATAATATATATGGATTTATTTTAAGGTTTAAGCGGATCGTAATATAGAGCTGTGTATTATCCAGATGTTAAATAATTATTATTTCTTTCTTAATGTTTGAAGTAAGCATGTAAAATTTAAAATAATATAGAATAAAAGATGTTATGATAATTAATTACATAAAATCTTGGTTTAAATTTTATGCCTTTCCTTTCATCCTTGCTTTTAGAATATCTGAACCCACATTTACATGGAGCTTATATAAATATTATATAAGGTCCTTAAAGACAACAATTACTAAAATTACTACATTTTATCAAACATATTTCCAGTATGAGCAGAAATCATGTTTTTGCTACTATTTGTTCACTGATAATAAATTATATCGCAAAAAAATATCAACATACCTATATTTATTAAATATGTAATTAAAAATCTTCAATAGTTTTATAAAGAAAATAAGATGGAAGTGCAAAACTATTAAACCTTCCATGTGAAAATAATTAGGAGTATACTGTTATTTTGATAACACAAATACACAAATTCCTATAAATATTATAATTTTATTTTAAGAATAAAATAGATAACTATTATATAAAAGCTTCTTTTCTCATTGTTTATATCAAAATAAATATATTTATAATCTATTAAAAATGTTCTAAAACTTATTACTTAATTTCACATACATACATATATTTTTTATAACAAAATGAGTAATACCAATTTATTGTGATTTTTGTACTATTCTTCACTTCTGTAAATAAGTAAATTTTTAACACTCTTTTATAAGCCCGGGTTGTATGTATGTAATATTTGAGATATTTTTCACCAATTTCCTTAAGTCTGGTAAATTGCAACTTTACACATGTATCGAAGACAATGAAATTATTTGCTGCAGCAGTTCCTCATTATCGTTTTAAGGAAGGCCAGGATTCATGAAGAACTTATTATTAATAGGCCAGTGCAGATGCCATTAAAAACAATGAAAAGTGAAAATAAATTATAGTCGAATGAAACTCACTAGGAAAGGAAGGGAATATAATAAAATTCAAGGAAAAATAATTTACGGGCGATCTGAGGTCGGGAAGGGTATGGGGGTGGGTATTTAAGGGTAAAAAATGGGTTTTCTCGATTTCCGACAAAACTAAGTCTTACGGAAAAAAGTTATATGGCAAAGTTGTAGGTAATAAAAAGATCTAAAACTTTTGTAACAACATTTTTTCACATAATCTCAAAATTTATGTGAAAATTCGAAAAACCAAGTTTTTGTTTTTTTTTATCTCTTCCAAAAAACAATTTTTTGCCACGAAATTTGATGAAAACTTTCCTTTTGATGTTCCAAATGCACTGTAATTTATTTGATAAGAAATATTTAATTTTTCAGCTAATTTTGAATAAATACCTTTTATATTATTCCCCTCCTTTTCAAATGAGTTTCATTCTACTATAATTTAATTATGTTTTAAAAGCTATCGGCACTGGTCTATAAACAGAATAACTCAGTTCAAAAGAAAAAGGAGTAAATGATTATTGAATGTTATATTACTCCTGTAGGGAAGATAATGAAATACAAGTATAACTGTAATATGTTTTGAAATCTATACTAATATTATAAAACTGAAGAGTTTGTTTGTTTGTTTGAAATAGCTAATCTCCGAAACTACTGGTTTGAATTGAATAATTCTTTTTGTGTTGGATAGTCCAGTTATCGAGGAAGGCTGTGGGCTATATAACATCACGCTACGACCAATAGGAGCAAAGATATAGTGGTAAATGTGTAAAAAACGGGAGAAATTATTTCATCTTTGAAGCCTTCCGTTGCGTGCGGCGTGAAAACGGTTCAAGATACACAAAAAATATGTATTAAAGAATAATAGCTCTTTTAATTATCAAAAAAACAGTCCGCAACAGTATATGTCTATCTTTTAAGATTAACTCACAAAAACCGTTTTTATGGTACCTAATTTGGTCGAAATAATTTGTTTAAGTTGTATCAACATAATAGTATTAATCTTTATTCAAATAAACAAATAAATATGTTGTTGGTTAAGAGTACTTCATTGTGAATTAAAAAAAAACATAGGTTATATCCTGAAAACTCTACGGGAACTCGACCATTCCGAGAACCCCGCAAGAACGGGAACTACGTGGGAAGAACCAAAAATCTGCCGGAAGTTACTATTCCACGTGGACGAAGTCGCGGCAAAAGCTAGTTTAGAATATAAGAAGATGAACGGATCTTACCAAGAGCAGACACGAAGTGGACATGAAAATTCAAGTTTTAAATAAATCCTGAACTCTCATTCAAGAAACCTATTTAACTGCCATTTTGATGTTGCCATGTTATAAACCCTTTAAATATTTTCAAAGTAAAGGATGTTACATATTTTTTATCCATTTGATCTAACTCGGTTGAGGGCGATTGTAGAAGGTTCTTCATATTTCTTTCGTCACTATATTTAATGGTAGTAATGTAATTTGTTTATGAACTCAAATAAAATGAATGGTTCAGGGATAAATGAATATTGGAGATACAGTGGAAGCTCCTTATTCGCGTTTTCACTACTCGCGGATTCAAAAAATGCTACCCAATCCCTATATTCGCGACTAAAAATTTCTTTATTCGCGGGTCTAATAAGTACATACATAATAATAAAATTATCCCAATAAGTATCTAACACAATATACTTGTCATATGGACTAATAAAAAAGTAAAATAGACCTTATTACAACTTTACCATAAGTCTTCTTGTTCTAGAAGAACTTTACCATAAGTACTTATGTTGTTAAATTATATCGCCGAGGACTTTGACAAAAGCCGCCTTCGCCGCGAGCTGTGTTTTTGAGAATGTAAACAAACAGAATGAAAGCAACCTTATAACTCAATAATAAACCGACTTGGAGGAAATGTTAAATACACAGCCCATTGAAGAAAAGGCTTCAACAAACACTGGAAACGTGACATTTACAAATTTGAAAAATCTTAATGAAGGTTTAAGAATGGCAAATGAGCTTTGCGATTTCTTTATGATCATTGATCCCTCTATGGATCAAAGTCTCATTTTTAAGAGGCAAACTGCTAATGCGGTTGCTGTATATCAGTCTGAATTGAAAGAGCTTTTGAAAACTGCCAAGCAAGAAAAAAATACAAAATTCTTCAAACCATAAGATAATTAATTAAAATGTTCAGAAACTTCAATTAATTTTTTTTTATATATATTTGTTGTGTTTATTTTTGTCACCTAGGAACGTATCCCCTATAATCCTATATAAATTACCATTCCATATTCACGGTTTCTGTATTCGCGGCATATTTATGGAACATATAACCAGCGAATAAAGAGCTTCTACTGTATTTGTTTTTCTCACAGTATTTCTTACATTTTAACAGAATATATGAGCCAAGTTGTATTTATATTAAGAATACAACGTAAAGGAATTATTTGAATCGTTTAAATTATATAAAAAATACACTAATCGTAAGATAGAAAAACTCTACTATTTATTAATGGTCCCTCAGTCCCTGCTTCAAGACATAAATAAAGGGTAAAATAAAACAATAATGACAGTAATTTATGTATCTTAATACACATCTATCTTAATGTAACATATAAATGAAATAAACAAGTCTTATATAACGATATAAATGTTCCAAAAACGTCCGTCAAGTTTCACCAGCACTTGACTAGGTACATTGTTATTATCACAGCCTACTAAGAGCTCTCCTCGACCCGACACTCTGCAGTCTACACACTTCACATACAAATAAAAACAATAAGAGCAGAACGACCGATACAATAACCTCACTTAACTATCAGATGTAAATAACAATTAAAAAATATTTGGTTTTCTAAACTATATTAAAGTTTTCACAATATTCACATAAAAAAGACAATGTTTGTACAGCGACTGGCTAACAAATGGTGCTTAAGTAATCCGACCACGAATAAAAAACATTTATTTATGTGGAATGTTTTAAATATGGCGTTAATTGAAATCGATTCTATATAATAAAAAATGTCGTAGATAAAAACTATAGTACACTAAGATATATTCTGGTGAACATCCACATTATATATTAAATTTCACAATATATAAAAATATGTTTAATTATTTATAATAATATGTTTTCTTCACCCGTCGTTTCCAAACTATAAATTCGTACCAGCACCGCGATTGGACGCCCTCTATAGTATTATACGTTAACAGAGAGGAAATTGTAGCTGACATATATTGACATATTATATGACTTAAAAGATATGGCAACCAACTCAACATACAACCAGAAGACAAGGCGTTGTTTTAAAATGTCATTTCACCGATCACTTAGGAATATGTAATATACTTCACATAAAAGAAACGAAAACAAAGAATTTCTCTTCAAATGTTGTCAACAAAAGAATTCCTTTAATACATATGCTGAAACGTTAATATGTAATCATAGTTCCACATTCTCATCATCAACGCAAGTCACTTTGCGTATTAAATTTCTATTACATTATATCCACTGACTCAGCGATATAACAGCTTTATTAATAAGATCACTTAAAACTTTCACACTGACAATTTAAACTTCTGCTTAGTTGATATCATACACTGAATTTACAAAGTTTTTACTTCGTTTGATTCTTATAAAGGATTTGTTTATATTATCGTGCCCAAAACTTTCACACTGACAGTTGAAAGGTATCTCTAGTTGATATCATACATCATACACTGAATTTACGAAGTTTTTACTTCGATTGAATCTTATAACAGCTTTTACATATTATCTGTCTGTATTTAATCCATATTTTCTTTGATTTTTTTATATAAAAGGTATCTATCCTCGTTGTAGTAGTAAATGTAGCAAGTCTGTCATGTCCAACGGCCCGTTTGTTAAAATTGTTATCTTGCAAATATTCATTGTATCTCATTTTAAGTGAATGTAAAATTCTTATGAGAAATAAAGTTCTTTATACTCATCTATAGTGTATATCATCATGGTACACTGTCTTCTTCTACCTGGCAATTTCCCAGCTATAGCCAGGGTCTGCCTTATATGTTGTGTATAGTTTTTGGCTATTTGTTTTTACGACCGGCCGCCTGCCTGACATCAACCCTCTTTTGGGAATCAACATTAATCAGTGATGTCTAAATACTCTTAGAAAGTATATATGATTCGGAAAAATCACATTGGTACTTGCCCGGGCCAGGATCGAACCCGCGCCCTCGGCGACGAGAGGCCGAGAGGCGGGCCCTTTAACCACTGAGCCACCACTGATTTGAATACAGTGTACCATCATCATGGTACACTGTATTTAATCTGTATTATCTTCTGTTAGTTTATATAATCAGTTATAGAGGTCGCCAGTGTGGGTCAGGCTCCCTCTTGAGGTAGTCGATGCAGGGTTGGAAGTTCACGTGTATAGTGACGGGATGTAACGCGCGAGCCTCGGCCGCCTCTAGTGACGTCACTCCAGCGCCAAGCTGACGAGACACGCAGCCGTACTCCACGCTCAGCGGCACGTAGTACTTACCTGGAATTATGTATAGAGGAAATGATTACTTGTGTCGCTCACTGTATGGCTTTGAATTATTTTGCTGACTGTTTGAGTAGAAAATGTTTTTATTTATATCTTTCTTATGTTGTATTATCTCATACTTAAGACTGTCTGTAGTACGTGAGAGACAAACTATTGAATACACATGATATAAGATCCTGTGACAAATCCGACGATATCATGATAAATCAATATTATTTTTCACAATATATACAAAAGAGAGGACTGATATATATTTAATATGTAACAAAAATAAGTAAAATTCTATAACTTTGACACTATTTTAAATCTTGAATTATACTTTTATAATTAAGTAGTTATTTTTGTCGAGCCCAGGAAGTTAAAAAATTAAATCCCACATTACATTAATCATAACAGATTCTAACTCGTATATCCTCGCATATGTCTTCCATCAAACATCTCATGTGCGTCGTGTGTTATATGTCATACTAGTTCAGTGGTTTGGGCGTGAAAGCGTAACAGACAGACAGACAGAGTTACTTTTGCATTTATAATATTAGTAGGGATGTGTTGTCTCACCGAGCGCGTTCAATGCGAACACAGGCACGTACTGCGCGGGCGGCGGCGGCTTGTCGAACGAATGGTGGTGCGGAGACTCGCTACATGTGTCCTGATACAAACAACACACGTTATATAGTAATACATACAGCTATATAGTAATATATAGTCGGCGATAATTATTTAGTGTTCAATTTATTACTAATTGTGAAAAAATACTTTAAAAGTCGTTAATATAGAAAATATTTCAGCTTAAACTTTCTTCTTATAATCTGCTTCTAATTCGCGGAATTATACAATGCTAGTTACGATGTGCACTATCCTCGACGATATAGTGCTACTAGTTTTTACCCGCGACTTTGTCTGAGTTTATTTCAAAATTAAAAATATATTGTTGACCGGACGAACTCTATTCCTCCTCAAAGACAGTAGATAAGAAAATTTTGCATTTGATAATTTCCCTTGTTCTAAGCTATCTCTTGACTAGTTTTCAGCCATATCCCTACAGCCGTTCTTGAATTATAAACAGTGTAACTAACATTACTTTCTTTTATACATATATATATATATAAAGACTAAACAACAGAATATATATGAAGACATACACTTCTCATGACTTTGAATGGTTATTTTTTCATTCATAAACAATATTGATACCATATGAGAGGTTCATATGTGAAAAACTGAAAACGTATCGTATTTAGTTTGAATAGACCTTGTACTAAGGATGTGATATGTGTTAATATACCTGTGGACTGGTGTCCCGAGCCTCCTCGGTGGAGCCGGAAGCGGATGTTGATGTGGAGGGCGGCGCGGCCTTGGTGGGCCTCCGACGTTTATGAGTGTAGGCCTTCGCTGTGGGGCTGGCGCTCCACGCGTCACCCTTTAACATATTAAACATGAGTTAATACACACATATTAAATAACAAGTAACTTAGTTTTGTTACTAATATTGTTAATTACTACGCGTTATTTTATTATTTTTCATCTTGTCATAATGATCACGGTTGCTGTAAAGTAACCGAAACGTCGGGAGTTTGTAGATAAAATAATCTTAAAAAACGCGTGGTAATCCGTAAATTTTATATCCTTTAAATGAGCAATTCTTGTATATATCTTTATATATATAATTCTTCTGTGAGTGTGTATGTCACTGAACTTCTCTCAAACGACTGGACCGATTTTGATGAAATTTTTTGTGTTTTCAAGGGGATCTGGGAATGGTTTAGATTCACAATTTTGTCCGCTGGACAATGTTTTTTAATTAATTCTTAATTTATTAGTAGTTGTTGATACAAACTTTTTTTTTGACATTAGATTTGACAAGTAACTAATATGTCAATCATTCTGTCGCACTTCAAAACACGGAGATTTATGGCTTTAATAGGTAAACTCCAAAAATATAAATAAAAAAACGTAACAGATATTTCTTGATTATAGGGCGGTACGAAGTTCGCCGGGTCTTTTAGTATTTATGTATAATTGGAATCTTGGAATCGGTTCCAACGATTTTCATGAAATTTACTTAGTATGTAGAGGGTTTTGGGAGGCGATACATCGATCTAGCTAGGAATCAGTTTTAGAAAATGTAGTTTTATGAAAAAGAATTAACTAAAAGGAGGTGTTTAAAATATGAATATTCCGGACATCTATTGGCGAATAATAATACTAATTGCTTTAACGAGACAACAGCAGATGGAATTGTTAAGTGTTTGTTTTGAGGTCAGACTAAGAAATAAATTATTGATTTATATTGTTTTGTGTTTTCTTAACGTGTTCACTTAAAAATGTCTAAACGAAATAAAAAAAACACAAAATAAATACCAATAATCCCTAAATCTGTATATGTAATGTATACGTTTGTTACTTGTTCACGCTCAGACGGCTGAACCGATTTTGATAAAATTTTGTATATAGGAAGCTGACGTCCAGGAATAACACATAGGCTACTTTACATCCCGGTAACACCGCGGGGCGCAGCTAGTATAAGTGTTCAGCTACCTCAGAGTCTTGTGACCGTGAGAACCTCCTCTCTATAGAGTTCTTGAACTTGTACGAGTGTAAGTAATCTTCGTGTTCCGGTTTCCTAATCTTCCTCAGAGTGAGTTCCTTCTTCACTCGTCCGTCCAGCGGCAGAGGCTCGCCCTCCGACGTGTCCTGTACAGCTGGTTGATGAACCGACACTGGAAACATTAAATATATCAATTATATACAATTTAGTTCAATTTTGACAGTCATAACCAGTTAGTCAAGACACTTGACTGGTTCCTAATGAAGATATTATTTTTTTCGTGAATTTCAATGAACACCAATTTAATAATATTTGTATACATTTGTATACAGGGTGACTGGTGAATTACTATCAATATTTAAGGAGCATACTCGGTACATGATTCTCATTCGAATTATGTAAAAAAATAGGTACCTAATTTTTGACCAAATTTCCGTATAAATAAATAAAGTGTGGACACGTTCCAAGTGTTCCAAGTGTGGACGCGTGCGGCGGCGTGCTGATACAACACGCCGCCGCGCGCGTATGTGTGAGTGTGTGTGTGTATACCTAATCTGTAGGGTGTTCATACGATGCGTAATTAATTACATAACTTTTGGTTAACTTTACTTAGAAGTTTATTAATATTTATGTTATATTAATTTTTATTTTGTCATATATGATCGTCAAATATCACGTCCTCAAATATCGATAGTAATTCACCAGTCACCCTGTATAGAGGTAAGGATAATTAATCATAGTTAGCTATGTCATATGTCAAGGAGTGCGAAAAATCTTTATATATAAAAGAAAGTCGTGTTAGTTACACTATTTATAACTCAAGAACGGCTGTACGGATATGGATGAAAATTGGTGGAGATAGCTTAGAACCAGGAGACGGACATAGGATATTTAATTCATAGGATATATAAAAAAAGTTAATATATTCCAATATCTGGTAATTTATGACCTCTAGAGCGGAATAGCATTCGCTTGGTCAATCATATATTACTAATTTCGAAATTAATGACGAAGTCGCGGGCAGAAACTAGTAGTATATCAACTACCTCTTTTAGTATAGTCCTGGTAATATAATAATTGCGAAAGTTTGTGAGTGTGTATATGTTTGTTACTTCTTTACGCTCAAACGGCTGAATCGATTTTTGTAAAATTTTGTATACAGGAAGCTGACGTGTAGGAATAACACATAGGCTACTTTACATCCCGGAAAATGTTCGACCTGATAATCCGTGGGTAACACCGCGGGGCGCAGCTAGTATATTAATAATTCCGAAATTAATGACGAAGTAGTAAAGACTAGTAGTATATGAATATAGTGTACCTCTCTCACAGTCCGTGTAGTGCTCTTGTGTAGTCTCGTAGTTTTCTGTGAAGGTCGGCGGGGGCTCCGGTCTCTGGATCACCTTCACCGCGAACCCTTGCGAGCTGCTGGACGAACTGGTCGTCTCTGATGAGGAGTTAGGGTACAGACGCTTCTCGTGGAGGGCTTCTGAAAGTACATCGTATAAATTATAAAACACTAGCTTCCCACAAGCCCGCGTGGAGTTCGGTTATATCGCGTTTCCAAGAGAACCTTTCAAAAGTCTGGGATAAAAACTATACTTTGTTTTTTCTCAAGGTCAACTCTATGTCTGTATCAAATTTCATTAAAATCAGTTCAGTGGTTTAAGCGTGAAAGCGTAACAGACAGACAGACAGAGTTACTTTCGCATTTATAATATTAGTAGGGATATTGCAAAATCATTTTAAATCCATAACGGAGATTCCCAAAGAGGGTTGATGTCAGGCAGGCGCCCGGTTGTAAAAACAATAAGCCAAAAACTATTCACAACATGTAAGGCAGACCCTGGCTAAAGCTGTTAAATTGCCAGGTAGAAGAAGTAGAGGTAAAGAAAACTTCAACGGCGCTTTTAAACATCAATCTACATATATTCCATAGAAAAACTAATCGTATGAAACATAATAATAATGGTCTTAAGATGTAAAATTAGTAATAATGATTATAATGATAGTGCTACCTCATATTGGAAAATCGTTTTATGTTGATCGAATTCAAGACCTTCCATAGAAATAAAAGCTTTAATACTTTTAGCTGTAGTACTTTGAAACATCACCCAATCGAAATAAATATCGTAATAAACAAAATAATAATAGGTAGAGAGAGGAGCTTGGACAGTGGAGGTGAGAATTTAACGCGCCTTAGATAAAGGATCCTTTAAACCTACACCTGGGTCGCAAGTCCCAGGCATTGTTGAAGCTCCTCTCACTACAACGACGGACCCGACACCCGCACCGTGAATACATTGAATGATGAGAGGTTTCGTCTATAAGACGTAACATTAGTATTAAATGTATCTAGCGTGTACCTTTGGATATAACATCAGCGTGTGAGTGAAGGTGAGCGGCGAGCTGGTCCGCCAGTCCGTCGCGGGAGCCCTGGAGCTCCACGAACCGCACGGCCTCCGCCCCCGCCCGCTGGAAGCCCGCAAGGAACTCCGAGCCTCGCTCCAGAGCTAACACCATCACAAAAAGAATCATCTTCATGAACCTCGTTAATCCGTTAATACTTTCTTTGGTGACGTCATAAATAGAAATTACCTATAAATGGGAACTATTTCAAACAAAACCTTACTTTTATAAAGGAAATCATTCTTTTTTGGCCTTTTTTAAAAGTGCCGGCCAACAAAAAAAAATGGTACATATTTGTAGAACTAACCATTTGGAACAATAGTTAATATGGCGCAAAAGTTGTAGGATCCAAGATATAGAAGTTATTCAAGTTTCAAGATTCATCATTTTGGTACTTTATTTTTTTCTGAAAGTGCCAGGAAACATAAAATAATGATTGATATTGCTAGAGTTAAGCTTCTCAAGCAAATCATAGCCATAATCTGTTAGAAACCTGTCGTTTTTATGTAATACTAGCGAACCCGACAGACGTTGTTCCGCCAAGTATCTGAACGCATGCAACACATTTCTTGATGATTTTATTATTTGTCTAACCTAATATGTATATCGGGGTGCCATTTTTCTATATTAAAAAAATGGGCCTAGAAGCACTTTTAACTGATTTTGTACCATTTCATGTCGGATTTGATCATATGACGCGAGAGCAAGTGGCGCAGAGGAACCTCATAGTGCCAGAGCGATAATAATTTGGTAATCCTGATAGTCCGATTGAAGAAAGAAAGGCCATCTCTATACTTGATGGCACTTACATATATTTACGGAAGAGCACTAATTTCTTTTTTCAAATAAAATCTTATAGCAACCATAACTTTCGAAATCTTTTAAAGCCTTTTTTAAATATTTGTTGCAATGGAACCATAATAGCGGTAGATGGCCCATCGCTGCAACAACCTCCGATGCCCAGATTTTAAATGATGCACTGAATAATGTATTTCACTGGTTTTACCGGCCTGGTGACATTTTTATATTAGACCGTGGTTTTAGAGATGCTATAGAAAATCTGGAGTCATGCGGTTATGTACATGCTCTGCGCCACTTGCTCTCGCGTCATATGATGAAATCCGACATGAAATGGTACAAAATCAGTTAAAAGTGCTTCTAGGCCCATTTTTTTAATATATAAAAATGGCACCCCGATATACATATTAGGTTAGACAAATAATAAAATCATCAAGAAATGTGTTGCATGCGTTCAGATACTTGGCGGAACAACGTCTGTCGGGTTCGCTAGTATTACATAAAAACGACAGGTTTCTAACAGATTATGGCTATGATTTGCTTGAGAAGCTTAACTCTAGCAATATCAATCATTATTTTATGTTTCCTGGCACTTTCAGAAAAAAATAAAGTACTAAAATGATGAATCTTGAAACTTGTATAACTTCTATATCTTGGATCCTACAACTTTTGCGCCATATTAACTATTGTTCCAAATGTACCAGTTCTACAAATATGTACCATTTTTTTTTGTTGGCCGGCACTTTCAAAAAAGGCCCAAAAATGTATGAAGCCTGAATGATCTCCTTTCGTTGCATTTGAAGGGAAATATAGACAACTAGATAAAGTACTAAATTCTCGTTAAAAAAACCTCGAAAAATTTATTGACTTGGTTAAAGTGATATCCAAAATATATAAAATTAAATTCACTAACTCGATCAGGGTTCGAACCTGTACTTTCCAGGATATAGCACAATCAACTAAACACACTAGAATATATCTGAATGTAAACAAAAACGTCATTATCCAACCAAAAACACGTAATACACAGATTTGGTTTCGTCTGTCCGTGATCACGGTTGGTGAAAAGTAACTCAAACCTCGGCAGTATGTAGTTTTTCACAAAAATAAAGCACGTTTAGTATATCCGAAAAATATAAGATTCATTTAAATGAATAAAACTCGCAAACGATCTCATTATCCTCTTATCTATAAGGCGTAAACTCAACCATATTTTCCCTTCTCTCAATTTCACTAACCGTGTACTCTATCCTGTAAGTATTTTAGGTGTCGTATGGCCATTTCTATGATCTCCGTCTTCTCCACGCGCCCCCTCCCCTTCTTCAAGTATTCTGGAGGTATGAGTCGTGATAGATCAGCGAGGCAGTTGTTCATTCGATCCCGCCGCCGCTTCTCAATGATGCGATGCGACATTGGATCTTGCTGTTGATGACTTAAAGTTCAAACTGAGTTGTCTTTAAATCACAAATGTCTGATAACATTTATAAATTCAGTTCTTTCAAATAAAAATAAAATAATATTGTGAGTTTAGTTAAATAGAATCTTTGTTTTAAGCTTTTAAAAATTTCAAATATATTTTAAGTTTTAATAAACATTAAAAATGATATATCTAATATATAAAATTCTCGTGTCACAGTTTTCGTGCCCATACTCCTCCGAAACAACCTGACCGATTTTAATGAAATTTTTTGTGCTTATTCGGTAGCTATGAGAATCGGCCAACATCTATTTTTCATCCCCCTAAATGTTAGGGGTAGTCCACCCCTAAATTTTTTTTTTTTATTTTTTAGACAAAATTTTTAATTACTATTTTTTTATGATACAACGTACAAAAATACATACAATCCTAAATTTTCACCCTTCTACGATCAACCCTTATTTTTTAATAGCTATTTTAGTAATTTAATCATTTTTCATCTCCGGTCGATAACTGATCAATCGTCATTTAATAAGTTATCCCCGCCAGATATCTACAGGTGTCACTTCTGACCCAGTAAACAGCACGGAGTAGGGATGAGAACGAAGCCGGTCTTCTGTTTCTCTCACACAATTAGACTTCTCTCACTCCCTACACAGTTGTCGGCCATCGTTATTGTTTGTGCATCAAGTGTAGTAGTAACGTTGACAATTATTATTTTGCTAGCTCAGTGTAACTCTCATATTAACTATTAATCATTCCTTATCACTTCAAAACACGGAGATTTATGGCTTTAATAGGTAAACTCCAAAAATATAAATAAAAAAACGTAACAGATATTTCTTGATTATAGGGCGAAACGAAGTTCGCCGGGTCTTCTAGTATGCTATAAGTATATACCTAGCAAACAGATCAAAATATTTTTTTCTATGTACCTAAATGGCAATTTCAAACTATGATAAAATTAATATTTTTAACAAAACTTTCGTCTCTTATAACATGCTATCAAGTACGAAGTTTAGAAGACTATCCTTACCACGAATTTGTAATGTCAGAATAAACATCGACAAATTTAAAATCATCCATAATATCATGTTATTTTGACAATACAAACTTGTAGTAGTAATTATCTAGTAGTAAAGTGTCTAGTAATCAATACACGGGCATATTCAGTGTGACTTGCCCTCGAGACCTTCCCCTTCTTGTATCCTGGCGGGTACTCCGCCTCATCTTCAGACGGGGGCGCGAAGCTCAGCGGCTCACGGGCGAACTCCTCATTGGAGTAGCTGGAACATACAATATAACACTCATCTTATAATATATTAATACTCAAAATCATACATTTGTAATCCCTACTAATATTATAAATGCGAAAGTAACTCTGTCTGTCTGTTTGTCTGTTACGCTTTCACGCCTAAACCACTGAACTGATTGTAATAAAATTGGGTGCAGACATAGAGTTGACCTTGAGAAAGAACATAGGATATTTTTTATCCCAGACTTTTGAAAGGTTCTCTTGGAAACGCGATATAACTGAACTCCACGCGGGCGGAAAGCTAGTAGTATAATAAATAGGCTCAGAATGATATTTACAAAGGGAAATTCTTAATTCAATGTCTCAGTGTTGTCCCATATATTTTTATACAATGTACGATTGAGTAAACATTTATCTGTTGTTTTATTGAAATAATATGAAACCTCAGCTACATTATCATACGTCGATCATAACTATGAAATATGAATAAAAATTCCATCAAATATCGTAAACAGTGGCTCGTTAACATACGCGGTTTCGTATTTATGAAACGTGATTCTACCGCCTGACAAATCTTTATTTGGCCACGTGTCACTTACACCGCGTGACGACGGTCTGTCCTTTATAAATTTTAATATAAAGTACATACATATATATTTGAATGTATTTACTCGTCAAAAATAACAGTAACTGTTGTGAATTGCGTGTTAGTTAAGTAAAGTTTATTTGTTTTTATTATATGTAGTCCTTTCTCTACTAACAGAAAAATCATGGTCCATTTTTTCTTAGATAGTCTTACCTGTTCTTCAAGAAGCCAAGCTTAATCAATATTTAGAATCGTAATCATTTCGTATATTCGATATATACATATAAAAAACGTTTATGTGTCTTTATAACAACATGTATAGGTTTAAAACAAATAAATATAAATATTAATATTATACTTGTATAAAAATAGACCCTATTCAATTATTTATAACTATTCATATAGGAAGAATTAAAATGTAAATATAATTTAATGTTCCTGATACTATGAACAAAGATACATAGTTTTTTTCGTTATTTGTTGTATGATAAAAAAATCGGACAACTAAGCTAATAGAACTCTCTTAAATTAAAAGGACATATATTTAATGTTACTATAAAATGACATCTACATAATAAATGATAAAAATATGTTTTTTATCTGAGAATATTTTTGTTTGCTTCTCTGTATTTTCTCAAAGGTGAAAATAATCCATAATATAAGTTTATATCTTATACTTAAATACAAATACTATTAAATGTCACCGAAACGAAAAAGATGGTTGGTTTAAAAATAAAATCGTTTAAACAAATAAAAAGTATCTTTTTTTTGACAACCAAAACCTTTATTATTAATTTCTTAATATAAAGAGAAAGAAATCATTGCATTTACACCAATATAATTGAAAAATATATCATTGCTTTACAAACAATCAAGAGATAAACAAACGTAGTGCTTTTTAAAATGATTCTTGACAAAAAAATCATTTTATTATAAAATATACGTGAGGAACTATATATAAATGTTATTTAAATACAATATCTGAGCTATGTTTTTAATATTTATCATATTGAAGTTTCATGTCCACGTTTATTTCCATCTGTGTGTGACCACTTACTTGTGATTCAAGCCACGTGTTCCAAGTAACAATGATAAATATTGAATTATTTATATATAGGGATTTATTGCTTTTATATATATTATGATAACTTTGGAAACTTTTTTCAGAATACATTTGTTTATAGAAATAAGTTTTTATTCGGGTGTCTGTATAACCCAAAAAGCATTGTTAAATATCTCATCAAGTCAAATGTCAAGTTTTTTAAATTTAGTTTACATATATTTTAACGGATATTTTTGTTTTAGTTCTCTATAGTGTATGTCACATTATTTTTAAAATTAAAATGAACAATAATTAGGTTACAAGTTACAACATTTTTGAAATGAAATTTCGTATGCGACTTCCTACAAGGTTGCGTTAAACGTTTAACGCTGAGGTAGAAAGACAGAGAGAAAGAGAGTTGGTCGATAAATTAGAAGCACATAAGCACGGTTTTTTGCTGAGCAGAGAAGTAAACATTGTAATCGTCATGAACTTAGCTTAAATAGATACTTATTGTTCTATATTAATAATTTTTTTTAGTTTCATTTGATACACATCATTTAATAAGGCAGTATTTTATACTCAATTTTTTAATATCAATTAACGAAGTTTCACTTCTAAGTTCTACCACGTGGAGGGTCAAATGATAAACTTACCAAAACTTTATTTCTTTAACTTAATAAAACAGTGTTGAAGGAATTCTTAAACTTGAATATAAATAAGGAGACCACGTGTTTCATTATACACGATTTGTTCGGAACTGTCATCACTTTATTATTTAAACAAGTATTTCAATGGATTCTTTTAACGTTCTTATAATATGTTAGCCATGTGTAGACTCGGCCTGGGCAGGCCCCTACTCACTAAAACCACTGCGAAAGCCATCGGCCGCTATGTCGGTGTACCCCCGATCTGTCAGCGACAGGGCACACCAGCGACTGGCCGGTCCTGGCAAAGACCGGACTTACTATGACATATGCCCTGGGAGCATGTGTATAGCCTAACACATAGGACTTTATACAACTAGTAGTAATTAGTTAGAAAAAGTACATATATATAAAGATCGCCTATATTAAATTAAACTAATATTTTTTCGTATGTACTACGCGATTTTTATTTTTATCAAAAACTACATACCTACTCCCGACGTTTAAGTTACTTTACAGCAACCGTGATCACGGGTAGACGAGATAATAATATTAGTTTCATTTGAATGAATACTTACGAAAATCTTAGATCTCATAACGCCTATATTAATAGAATAGTGAAATATTATGCTTACCGAAACCATTCCGCTAATACTAACTTTATTATACTGTATTAAAGTTCAATTTATCTTTTTAATATTACCACGAATCATTCGTATGGGAGTATATAAATGTAGTTTTATGACATTTTCATGCAATTTTTATAATTTTTCACTACATAAGAACCATTTACGTACTACAAAGAATATTCTGAAAAAGAGAATGAGCAAAATCGATGTATTTTGTCTAAATTTGCTCTTAGCAACACATTCAGTGATTCATTTTTATGTATGTTTTAGAAGATAATAAAAATTGAAGTTTCGTCATGTCTTTGTTACAATATTATATCAAATATAAAAAAATCATCAGATAATTTTAAATTATATTATTTTTAACAATTCATCGATGTCTGATACTTTATTCCTCAAAAGAATCTATTGACTTCGTTGCGTCATTTTTCATTTGTAAGCCGGTTTTTCTTAACTACGTTTGGTTAATATCGGTCAAGCACTATTCCATAATTAGGTAAGGAATCTTTGTCATATGACCAATTAACAAAATGAATCAAACGTTCCTGTATAATCTTTGATATTAATTCTTGGGGATTTTTTTTTTAAATATTAAATTTTTCTTATCAAAATATCTCAAGGTCGATGCTATCAATGACCAAATTACATTTAGAAAATGTTTGACGAATGACTATCATGGTAACGGCATGTGGCGATTTCGTTTTAGAGTTTTTATTTAAAGAAACATCAAAAATTATCTAAAATCACTGTTCCTACGTTTTTACGTATAAATATACGTAAAATACTACAAAATTACTGTTTAATTTGACTACCAAAACTTGTAGTACATAGTCAAATGATCAGATAAAACTTCCATAGCCAGCAGTAAGGTTTTCAACAGAGCTAGATTTCGTCTGGGTTACTCTTTTATACAAACTATACAATCACAAAGTTTCATTAAAATCTGCTTAGCAGTTGTAAATACGACTAACGCATCTACCACAACATGTAAACAAACTTTCACATATAAATTGTGTTCAGTAAGAAAGTAACAATCGTATGAAATACTTTTAATTATATGTACTACCTTTTTCTACTTCAGTCTGAATATTCACAGGTAGTCTTTTTGAAAGAAGTATTTTACGCTTCTTTTTAGATATAACTCCAAAAGTACCAGTCTTATCGTAGAAGTACTGATAACAGAATCGTAAAAGATGACTGAAGAACTGCCAGCGTCAATGCAGCATACGTACTAGTATAGATGAAGAAATTTAAAAGTTTAATTATTAATTCAAAATAGATCATTCTAGAATATTGATGTGAAATTAGTTTTATAAATAACATTTTTTATATTAATAAAGGTGATTATAATTTTAATATATAATTTTTATAGCTTTATTAAATATAAATAACGGAAAAAGCATATGAGCGAGAGATAAGATGTGTGAAAGAGAGGTAGATATAAGATGGCCTTTAGAAAACGCTTATGTATGTATGTTATGTAGGTATAAGAAATTATGAGAGTTTTTGTAGACAAATTTATTATTGTGTGAATCAAATAAATCCGTACGCTTAGTCCTAGTTGCCATGTCACAATAAATACAGAGCGTGAACAGTTTTTCATTAATAATGATACATTATATTGTACTAGCTTTCCGCAGGCAGCTTCGCCCGCATGGAGTTAAATTATATCGCGATTCCAAGAGAACCTTTCAAAAGTCTGGGATAAAAACTATCCTATATTCTTCCTCAAGGTCAACTCTATGTCTTTACCAAATTTCATTAAAATCAGTTCAGTGGTTTAGGCGTGAAAACGTGACAGACAGACAGAGTTACTTTCGCATTTATAATATTAGTAGGGAGTAGGGGTTAAACGGTTAACGCGGCGTATTTAGTTCGACGGTACGAACTATTACTAAGACTGATCATTTGTATTACAACACTGCTTAGCTTACTTTTTTATTTCAGTAACATTACTATTTTCTTTTATTGTTTCCTTATTATGTACCTAGTATGGCGAAATAAATCTAGAGTATGAGTTATGTACTATTTATGTATCTTCCTTATATACAAGGCAACCTTTATTTAACAACTTCCTCAATGTAACAAATTTTTTCGTAATACCCTTGAATAGTAACAACATCAATGTAAATAATTAATAATTATATTATTTTTACGAACAACTTCTTTCTAAATTTTCAACTAAAAAAAGGATAAGTACATCTAATTAAAGAATTATTAGAATCAAAACTTCAATTACTTCCCAGAACAATTGAAGTCTCTTAATAGAAAGTTAAGTAAATACTGCTCGTCAGTGTAGAAGATTCCAGTTGCAATGACCCAGAAACGTAAAAGGTACCTTATCAGTCGCAGAAAACTAAAACATTATAAATTATATGAACAAAAATAATACGACGA